CTGCGGTGGCACACACGGGTGTAATCCTGTCATCTGTGCCCTATTCCCTCTATAGCTGCTGCCTTCTCTGCCAACACAATGTTACATTTTGGTTAGAACAGTTGTCACTCTCTGATTATTATGACCATGGAAACACTGTTCAATGCTGAGAAAAAGAGAAGCTGTAATCATCTCTACTTTCTTATACAACTGTTTATTTTCATGGCATTAATAATTGCCTCATTTCTTCATTCGCCTGACTTGCTGTGTTCCTATTGTTAATTGCTCCCACATGTTACAACATCTCTTCCACATGCCCATAAATAACATTTTCCATATGCTCAAGTAGAACAGTTATTGTTCTTTCCTATGCATCTCCACACTTTTTTTCCACTTGGAGTTGGTTATTTTCTAGACTTGCAGAGCAACTGAAACTTCTCTTTGCTATTCCCTCAGTTGTCATCTGGATTGGTCTCTCTATTTACTGAATCCTATATCATCCTCTTTTTTGATTTAGCCCTTTATTGTGCTGGAATAGAGCCTTTAGTATCTGCAAGTAGGAAGTAAATTTTTTGAGACCTTAAATATCTGAGAATGTTTACTGAGATCTAAACATTTTCCTCTTAACTTGACTGATAGTTTTTCTGGGTATAAAAAAATCTAATTTGTAGATACATTTTCCCCATAATTTTGAAGGCTTTGTCCCACTGAGTTCTGGCTTTCATTACTGTTGTTGCAAGGTCTGACACTATTCTTTTCTTTGAACTTTTTATTATTTATGTTACTGTTTTTCTTTTGAAGTTCTTAGAGTCTTTTGTTTGTCCTTGATGTTCTGAAATTTCATAATAATTTTCTTTAGTGTGGGTATTTTTCTTGTTCATTGTACCGTATACTTAATGGACTTTGAATTTGGAGTTTCATGTTCTAGAAAGTTTCTTTCCGTTCTGGAAAGTGTTTCTTATTTATCACTTCTTTCCCACTATTTTATATGACTCTTCCTTTCTATAATACCTTTTATTGTCATGTTGACTCTCTTAAGCTGATTCTCTAATTTTGTTACTACTTTTTTCTTATTATTTTTCATCTTTCTGAAAGATTTTTCTACTTTTCTTTAAGTCTTCCTCCTATATTTTTATTCCAACTTTCTTATTTGTTTTAATGGTTAATTTTTTTATGATTTTTTTTTCCCATGTGGATATCATCCTGTTTTTGTTTCATAGCTGGAAATTCTTCCCTCATCTCTCTGTGAATACTAATTGTAATTGTTTTGAATAATTTATAATCATTTTGTTTGTAATTGTACTTCTAAGAATAATATTGTAATTGTAATTTGTTTCCTCGGGGTTCTTTTTTGTTGTTGTTGTTTATTTGCTCTCATGTTAGAGACTTTCCTTAGATGTCTGATGAACTTTAGCTGTCTAGTCATATTAAAGAGAGATACGCTAAAAAGTTGATGGAAAACTTATACATAAGTGGGGCTGGTCAATTAGTAGAGCTCTTGGTAGGGTGATATGATAAGAAAGCAGGACTTTTACTATGGAACCCCCAAAGTCACTCTCTTGTAGCATTTGTCTTAGGTTATTTTATTTTTCCAGAGAAGAATTCAGTAGTCTCCTGCCTGTACTGTATAACCTGGCTTGAGACACCCTGAAAGAGGGACAAGAAAAGGAGATGAGTCTCAGTCCACCCTGTCTCCCTGTGTTAGACGTCTTGGTCTTCCTATTCTCTCCAGAGCATAAATCTCCAGTCTCCTGTCAGGAAGAGCAAGGTGAGAGGAAGCAGTAATGGGATAATTGCTTGGCTGCCTGGACAGAAGATAGAGCCAGATGGGAGTAGGAAGGAGGCAAATCATTTTAAGTGTAAACTTTCATCCGGTCTCTTTTTATTTCAAGCCCTTTCCCCTCGGTAGAACCCTGTACCCAGGGTTCAGTAGGTGCCCAGTAGGTGAAACAGACAGACTTATTGCTATCTGCCGCCTCTCTAGAAACCCAGGGCCTCGCTGTCTCTCTCCCTCTGCTAAATAGTGTCCATCCAGTTTCAGCCACTTTCCATTTTTCAAAAACTTGTTGAAATCTCTCCATTACTGTTGTCCTCTCTTCTGGTTTCTTGGTCCTTATAGATTTATATCTTTTCAGTTTCCTTTATTTTCATTTTAGTAATGTTTTGGAAAATGATTTGCCATGGTTAAAACCAGAAGCCTCATTCTTAAAGAATATAATTTTTGACACTTTAAGTAGTTGAAAGCGTACCCCCAATTAATTGCTTTTCTAAATGCTTAATACATTTTTCTGTTAAATGTTTTGGAGCAAATGTGATTCTTCTAAATCTTTAACTTCATACTCCAGGTACATATTTTAAAAATCACAGCATAAAGAAATGACTTGACTTCAGTTCAGTTCAGTTCAGTCGCTCAGTTGTGTCCAACTCTTTGCGACCCCATGAATCGCAGCACGCCAGGCCTCCCTGTCCATCACCAACTCCCAGAGTTTACTCAAACTCATGCCCATCGAGTCGGTGATGCCATCCAGCTATCTCACCCTCTGTTGTCCCCTTCTCCTCCTGCCCCCAATCCCTCCCAGCATCAGGGTCTTTTCCAATGAGTCAACTCTTCGCATGAGGTGGCCAAGGTACTGGAGTTTCAGCTTCAGCATCAGTCCTTCCAATGAACACCCAGGGCTGATCTCCTTTAGGATGGACTGGTTGGATCTCCTTGAAGAAGTACAAGCTGGAATCAAGATTGCTGGGAGAAATATCAATAACCTCAGATATGCAGATGATGTTGCTTATTACCTGCCAAAGACAGATGCTGTTGGAATTGATTCTATCAATGGTTAGCTGGCCTGCTATGATGCTTCCTCATTTTCTTACCTACTGTCTCTGAGGGGAAACATCAGCATTGGTAAGGCAGTTAGCAAAGTTTTAAGAAGTTTCAATACTGTGGGATTTGTATTTCTTCATAAAGTCATCTTACTTCTATGGAAATTGACCCCATAAACTTGCATCCTCCTTAGCATCCTACTGCACTCAGCTAAAGTGACTGCTCCCAGAAAATAAATATCATATTGTATTCCCTTTAAGATGATGTAAGAATTTGATCCTAATATACGGAATCTTACAAAAGCAATTGTCAAGCCTGTTTTTTTTCCTTTGCATGATTCAGAATTGTTGTTTTTGTTTTTGTTTTCCTTCCAGAATTGGAGAATCCATGGCCTTATAACTGAGCTCAATTCCACATTTAATTTCTGTTGTGTTTAATTGGCTTTGTAAACCTAGCTTGAATACGATTCCGCACATTAAACATACACTCAGAGAGCACCTCCATTTGCTAAATAAGGAAATGAAATAGATTCTACATATGCTTCCCCAAAACCTTGCTACTGGTGACAAGATACTGCAGTATGCCTTGAGGCACCTAGGGATCTACTAATTGTATGCAGGCTTTGCCATAGGAGCATGAGCTGATGTTGACCTGATCTGTAACTGGACTCTTAGGACTGTCTGGCAGCTTCTGTAACATATTAGAACCTTGGCCCCGGTTCTAATTGGCATCAAATTAAAGTGTATCTGCATCCACAAGACAGTTTAACTTTCTACATAAGAGAGATCATAATACCTTTCTTTCTTTAGCTATGATGCATTTGTACTCTACAGGGTTTCTGTTTTAACTAAGAAGCAGCTGAGATCTCAGGATTCCCATTTGAATCTACTTCTCTATCACTGAAATTGAGTCTAGAAGCTGCTGGCCCCGGCCCCATGTTGTGAAGAAATTACATAGCTTTATATTTCTCTGGCTTCAGGCCCGAGGCATTCTTAATCTTCAGACTGTCTGAAACCTTTAATAGAAAGCTTCATCTGTAATCATTTTAAACAGAACCAGTGGAGACAAGATTGCTTTAGTTAGTAGTTTACCAGCTCAAACTGATTACTCTCTAGTTGGAATGGAAACTCAATGAAGAAAAAACTCAGAATAAGTTTTCACTTACATTTTATATCTTACTTGGCAACTGGTTTGAAAATGTTGCATAAAAGATCCAACACAGGAAACATTTTATACAACTGCTTATGATTAATAAATATGGAATTTGAAGCATTCCATTTTATAAATCAAAGTCTTAGCCCAAATTTCCTGTTTTTCTACACTTTAAAAAAAAAACCCTTAGGGTAAAAATAGCACTAAACTGTATAGGGTACTCCAGGGGTCAAGGCAACAGGCAAAATCAATTACTCAAGATGCCATGGTTCTGAGACTTTTGTCAGACCATTAGCAGAAACATTCATTTTGCAGTCACTATAGATAAGGCATTTGGTGCAGCTAGTTTTATAAAAATATAAGAAAATATATCCTTCAGATTTTCTATGCCTATTGAGAAGAGGAAAGGAATGGATAACAAAATGATAAGTCAGTGACTTGGAAATACAGTCTCACACATTGCTAGTTCATAGACCACACCAGTCATGCTAGTCAAAGACTTTTATTTTTACTACATGTTAATTTTAACCATATCTCTTTCTGCCTGTACTTTACAAACCTGGCCACTGGCTTCCACTTTTAATACCCTGCACCACCACCTCAAAACATATTCACTCACTCACACATTTTGACTTTTGTTCATAGATTTTCCTGTCTTAGGTCATCTGCACTTTCTCACTTTTACAAATTCTCTCAGCCAGCCCCTGCATAATAGCCTACAGTGGATGTTGCAACATTTCTTTGTCCGTATTAACAAGATATTCTGAAGAATGCATGCATGACAATAGGTACTTCGGGATTCTTACCGTTATTTGACACCTCATCATGCTAAGTGAAGTCGTGTCTGACTCTTTGCGACTCCATGGACTATACAGTCCATGGGATTCTCCAGAAATCCAGGCCAGAATACTGGCCTTCTCCAGGGGATCTTCCTCACCCAGGCATCGAATGCAGGTCTCCCACGTTGCAGGCAGATGCTTTACCAGATGAACCACCAGGGAATGGCTCATCATGCTAAGATGAAAGTTTTCTCATTTACGTTTCTTTATAGCCTAAAGAATGTTTCTTGATACAACCGAAGGAAACAAATGAAGATACCGCCAAGACCAGGAAGAGGAAAAAGGTAATATTAATTATTTTTTACAATGGTGTGGCCTTGCATGGTTCCCATCACACTGTTATATAGTGTACTTTGGTGAGGCAGTTATTGTAATCCCCACTTTAGAGATACAAAAGTTGTAAAACTCTTTGAGGTTTGGTGACTCCCTTAAAGTCACGAGTAAAAAGTGTTTCTGCTGGAGCTAAAAATAAATTCTTCGAATTCCTATTTCAGTCTTGTGGATTACCAGGCATCTTTGTTACCCTGTGTTTTCACTGTGGTTAGAAGTCAGACATGGGTTTCTAATTCTAGAAGGGGCCTAGAGCTGTCCTGCCCTCTGGCCCCTCTGGATTTATCCAAGAAAAGAAATTTACCAACCTTCTTTTCTTAACCATTTCATTTTTTAAAAATCTTATATCTTAGAGTATTAATAAGAAAAGATTAAGCAGATGAAAGTAGTGTAAGTATAAGGCATTTCTGACTCTTAAGTTCGAACCATAATTTAAAGCAAAAGACTCCCCTTGCATTTTCAGACTTGCCTGTGAACATATGGGAAACACTGTTGCTCCTATACAGACTTTCTTATGGCTCAGCCTTGAAGAAAGTGTGGTTAGCTTTGACCTTCTACCGCTGTTGTGAAAACAGCAGTGTAATTCTCTCCCTGCCAAGAAGGGTCTACTGCTGTAGTCAGCAGAGGAAATATGATTGGGATTAGAGGAAAGAAGATGGACTCAAACCAATTACTTAACAGCAAGCTTTTAGAAAACTGAGAGTGTGTGCATATGTTTTCCTTGCCTGCATATAGCCAAATAGGAAGATGGGAGATGCCAAATTGGCTGAGGTTTGGCAAGTCCTTAAAGAAATGACTTTAACTTCTCTTTGATAGTTTGTACACTGATGGCCTCAAGAGTGTTACGTTCTTGGGGCTCAAGGTCAGAACTCTAGCTAGATAGTTTAGCCTTGGCTGAGGTCTGGCTGAAATGTGCCCACTGATGACATTTTTTTTTTTGTAAAGTTAATTCATTTGACAGAACTTTGTTCTTGGCAGTGGTGTGAAACAGAAGATAGTATGGACGGAGCGGGGAAAAGGTGGTGGAGGAGGCAAGGAAGGGCTCTTTCTGAATTTTTGGTGAAATATTAGAAAGATATAAGAAGGGAAGTTCATGATGAAAGTTAAGTGAACAATTTGTATTCCGAGTACATTGCAGGCATTTAGTATATGCTACACAAATAAATCCAAATCAAAATAGATGTTGTAGAGCCTTTCCTGTTCTGCTTTTCATGGGGCCAGTTCGAGATGTCTCTGCCAAGACTTGAGCGTTGAGGGTCTTAAGCGCACTTTTTCGGCGTGCTCCTTTGCTGAGATTACTCCTGCAGCTCTTACTTTAACCCCAGAAAGGCAAACTGAAACTCAGTGCCTTAATAACCAGGTAACACAAGAAATTCTCAAACTCTACTCTCCCAGGAATACACATTGTCGGAAGCTTAGAAAGGGGTTTCCATAAGCAACAAGGTTTAGGGCTTTTAGGGCTTCCTTGGTGAAAGTCGTAATTGCTGAGTAGTGTCCGACTCTGCGACCCAGTGCACTATAGCCACCAGGCTCCTCTGTCCATGGAATCTCCAGCCAAGAATACTGAAGAGGGTAGCCATTCCCTTCTCCGGGGGATCTTCTCAACCCAGGGATCAAACCCAGGTCTCCCACATTGCAGGCAGATTCTTTACCATCTCAGCCACCAGGGAAGCCCAAGGTGGCTCAGGGATTAAAGAATCGCCCGCCAGTGCAGGAGACACGGGTTTGATCCCTGATCCGCGAGGATCTCACGTGTCCAAAGCAACTAAGCCTGTGTGCCACAGCTGTGGGGTCTGTGCTCCGGAGCCTGGGGCTGCAGCAGCTCCACTCACATGGCACACGCCCCGCAGAAGGAGAAGTCACCACAATGAGGGGCCAGCACACCGCAACTAAGAAAAGCCCCTGCTTGCCAACCAGGGAAAAGCCTGTGCAACACTGAAAACCTAGCATGGCCAAAATAAATAAATAAATAGTAAAATAAATAAAAATTCTAAAAAAGATAAAAAACCCCACAAGGATCATTTACAGAAACTGACCACATACCTGGGCATAATGCAAATATCAATAACAGTTTTTAAAGAAGTAGTATCATACTGACTGCAAGCTCTGTATATAACACAAGTAAGTGAAAGAATCACAGAATAAAATCAACACTTACTGACTTTTAACAGAAAATAGTACCAATTATAGACTCCTGCAAAATTTTTAGTTCTCCTAGAAATCATAGAGCAAGGAGTCTTTTAGATCATTCACTTTTCAAAGCAGTAGTTATGTCTAAAAAGTATCTTTCAAGTTTTCTCTAGTGTATTTATTAGCACTCCCGTTCACGCTTGGCCATCACCAGAACCTATTCACAGTTTAAATGCCAGAGGAATCAACCTATCCTCAGCCAAATGCCACTCTAAAAATCTGTCTTCCCATTTTTACTTCTTTCTCATCAGAAGAAAATTACTGTTATTCTTGCAAAATCAGAGCCAAAACCAGGGACACCTGAGGACCTACAGCAGCTGATGAAGGACTATTATAGCAGCAGTCGCTCCGTAATTGAATTAGAAGAACTAACCCTCCCAGGTACAACCAGGCTCCTGTTGTTCTTCCCTCCAATGAATGTATTTTCCGTGTGCTAGTACTCCTTTCCTGAACCTTATCGTTTTAACTGTTGGATAATTTCTTCATTAAGATGCTAAATGGTATTTGTTCAATCTAATAGATTTGTAAATTTTTTTACTGCAAAGGTATTGGGTGTGTTTTGGGGGCAGATTTTTCAATGAATAAGAATCTTTAATAAGGATAGAAGTTAAATAAAAATAAAGCACACATTTAAAAGTATAGATGATTAATTTACTCATCCTTTATAGACAAGAACTTTAGCTTTAATAACATTTTAGTTTTGTTGTTGCCCTCATTGTGGATGTCTAGTTATCGTTCTGCTTTTAGGGTAGTATTTTAGCTTCCAGCCAAGACTTTCTCAAGTAAACTGTCTAAAGATATGAACAAAATTCTACATTTTTTAGCAAGGCTGATACCTCACCCTGTATGATTCTTAAATCTACTATTATATGAGATCTACTACCTTAGAATATTTATAATTAAGTTAAAAATATTGGGAAATCCTTCTTAAAACCAATTTTAATTAATTTCAAAATAATGACATAATCTATTACTCTCTTGTTCCAAGACTGAAGAAAAAAGATGTCATAAAATCAAAAGGTCGGGCACCACTGCTTCAGATAAGCTAAGGCAATGGCACCCCACTCCAGTCCTCTTGCCTGGAGAATCCCATGGACAGAGGAGCCTGGTGGGCTGCAGTCCATGGGGTCGCTAAGAGTCGGACACAACTGAGTGACTTCACGTTCATGCATTGGAGAAGGAAATGACAACCCACTCCAGTGTTCTTGCCTGGAGAATCCCAGGGACGGGGGAGCCTGGTGGGCTGCCATCTATGGGATCACACAGAGTTGGACACGACTAACGCGACTTAGCAGCAGCAGCAGGAATACCTAACACCTGACACCGCCTTTGGAAAAAGTCAAAGGCAGCTTGATTTCCTTTTTCCATTACAACTGTATACTTTCTGGAGACTTGAGAAGCTGAAAAACAGCCCGTTCCCTGAATTTTTTATAATTCTTTTATAAAATGATGTGTGCATGTTTTTTTTTTTTTTTTAATGCACACTGGATTGGAGACACCAGTTCCCCTATCTGTTCCTTTTCCAAAATGCCCTGTAGAGAATTGAAGGAGCTCATTTCCACATGACTGAGTCCTGAAGTTTCCTACTTACTGAGCTCAGAAACCCAAGAGCAATTAGAGACGACTCTTCTAAGCGCAGCGGCTCCTTCTGACTCCTCTATCTCAGGAACCAGGTGCTGTAACGAAGCCTCTTCACGGTTTAACTGAAGTCTGATTTCACTGTGACTCAGCAGTCAATTTTCCCTTCTAGTTCTTTATTATAATTGCAGAGAGTCAAAAGTCAGAAGAAATCTTTAAGGAGTCACTTGAGTGCCATAGTGAGTTTATATTTTATCATCGTTAGAGTTCAATAATATAGTTAGATAAGAATATGTGGTCATGATTGACTTAGGGGAAAATATTTAAAGTATGTTAAAAGAGGACTGTTGTAGCCAAAAGGAACAGGTTTTCATTTTTAGTTAAGAAATTAGGCCATTCTGAGTCACAGTGTAGGAAAACATCATAGGAAGGTTTTAGAGAAAAGGCCCATCACTACCCTGTCAGGGCCAAGGCAAAGAGATCGTCTCTGTTATTTGAAGGAGGGACATGCCATAGGTTATCAGAACAGTCTCAGGAAGGGGCATATATTACTTATATGGATATAAGTAATAAAATATTGTTCCTGTTTAGTTTGCCCAGTGTCTGACTTGGTTGTGGTTTGCAAGTTGTTTGTGTCTGTAGGGCAGGAACATGTCTTTTCAATTAATACTGTGCACTGTACATTGTTAATGTCATATACATGGGAACTTAATTAGAGTTTTGAAGCAAGAATCACTTAGAGCTAACTCAGCTGTCCTCCTGAGAGCTGCATTGTAGTTCAGATCAATGCAAAATGCCTCTAAGCACTGAATCACCCAAGAACTTAAAAAGCAAATTCCCAGGCCTAGCCCCAAGGAATTCTGAATTACTGTGCCAAGGGGACTCCTTCCAGGAATCTGTATCTATATTGTAATGCTCTGCAGGTGAGTCTGATCACATCCAGACTTGGGAGATTACAATTTTAAAGATCATCACAGCCTCTACAACAGGATATAGAGGGCAACATCTTTGAAGTTACTCACACACTGAATTTGCATGCACTGGGTCATAACATTAAGTCTCATTTAATTCAGCAATAGTTTACTCCCTAACATTCTGATGTATTTATAGACAGACTTCTTCTGGTATAAAGAATTTGGATGATAAACATGCTTTTTTATACATCTTAGGTACAGTGTTAATAATACTACTTAATTGCTAGGCCATGATCATCATTGGTTGATAAGGCCCCTATGTTTTATTGCAGTTTGTTTCATTGTCTTTCATTGTGTTGTTGTGCTGTGTTGTGTTAATGTTGTATTTTGATGTATTATTCCTGCTCTTCCCCACCCACACTCCAGTTTCCTTTCTCCATAGGCATCAACTCTAATGGGTTACTGTTCGTTTTTAAATATGCATATGTCATATTGTTGCATGTGGAAGCATTTTACAATTTATTTAAATGAAGTTGTGCTGAGCCTCTCATTCTCCTTCCCCCCTTAACACTTTTTCAGGATGCCGGTATAGCTTTATGTACATGTAGTTAATTGCTTCTAAAATGCTACATGCTATTCCAATCATTTCATCTACCACTTATTGCTCATGCATTTTCTCCCATAGATGTTTAGGTTGCTTCTAGTTCTCCAGCATTACAAATAATACTTGTATGAATGTTTTGAGTGTGTCTTTATAGACTACACGAGAATTTCTTTCCATAATGTTTCTTTCTTTCCATTACACTCCAGGAATGTAATCCTGGGTTTATAGGGTATATGCACCTTAATTTTATTACTGTCCAGCATAGCAGTACCACTTTACACTTCCACCTGTAGTTCACAAGAATTTCCATCATCCTACCTTCTCAGCAACACTTGGTAGATTATACATCTTTTTAAAAATTGCCATTCTAATGTATGTGCAAAATGTTATCCCCTCTTATAGTAATTTGCATGTCTATGGTGACTGGTGAGTTTGGGCATCTCAACAAAGATCCGTGAGCTGTTTCAGGTTTACCTTTGTGTATTGCCTATTTCCATGGATTTGAAAATAAAAATGTTTCATTAGTCCATTGAATGATACAACAAGCTTCTATTTCACTACTCTAAAAAATGATGGACAGTTAAGTCTTATTGTTGGTGCTGCTGTTGTTTTAAATGCTAGACAACACTTTAAAATAAATGAGTCCTCAACTCATTAATGTTGTACAAACTATTCAAGAATACATCATTCACATTTAATGTTTTGAGTGTGTGTTTGCAAAATCCTCTACAAAGTATGCTTCTCATATTTCTAGACTCCTGCTTCCTCAAGGCCAATGATTTAACTCACAGTCTTTCATCATATCTAAAAGAAGGTAAGTAAACTCATTTTTTAAAAAACTATTCATCAAATTGTTATTTCCATTAAAACATGAGGGCTGTCTCTTTAGAATAAAAACTTTTGAAACCTCAAATTTAAAATGAAGTTTCCATCCTAAGTGGATTTTAAATTAATGTTTTTTAGGTCCATCTTAATATTAATTTTTATTTACTTTAATTTTTTCTTGTTTTTCTCTGGTTTTGGGGATTTGAGTTTTGGTCTTGTTTTTGTTGTACAGCACATTAGATGTATTGCTGTTGGAATCCAGAGAATTATATTAGTGTTCTCGTCCCAAGTACCTCATCAATGTGATGTTTGACTTGGCACAAGTTACTGAGGACTCCTCCAGGATTCTATTTTGTTATCTGAGAGACAAGGAAGTGGGACTATAATGTTGACCCCAACTCTGAGATTCTGAAATTCTGTTCCCATGTTCAGAACTCAGACCATGGCTATTGCTCAGCCTGACTTTGTCTTTTTACTTGTATATAGGCAGTAATAATTAGATTATTCATGCTAGATAGTCATTTATTGTGAACCAATAATGAACTAGTTTAGATACAGTAATTTAACATTCTTTTTTCAAATTCTAACCAATTCTGATGACACTCAACTTGAGTTCATAAGCCTTTCTTAGCCTCAAATACAGCAAATGTAAATGCAGGTAGTAATAGAATCAGTCTCACTGGATTATTAAGTTTTCTTTGTCTTTTTTTTTTTTTTGGTACAGACTGTTTTTACTTAGTCCTAAAACTGGTCACATTTAGCTACTTGGCATATTATATGTTTTGTGGTGTAAATTAATGATGTTCCATTTTAATATCTAGAATAACCAGAGAATAGTATCTAAACAACGTTCATTATATTAAATAATAATGAAGTAATTGGAGAATATTCAACTTTGGAGGCCTTATTTTGCTATATGTAGGGTAATGTTTTTCTTATGGTCTTTTTTCAGTCTGCCCCAAATGGGTGAAACTTCGGAAAAACCACAGTGAGAAGAAATCAGTCCTGATGCTGATTATCTGTGGCTCTGCCATCCGAGCTCTGGAGCTCATTAGGTTGGAAGCTCCACCTGTTCTATTTCGTGAATGGTTTCTGAGTAGCCGATATATGCCAAGCTGATATGTTCTATTTGCTGGCAATGTAGCAATGAACGAAATACACAGAGTCCCTTCTCTCATGGAACTTACTCTCCAGTGAGGGAAACAGATGATAAACAAATAAAATACATACTATAATGTCAAGTGGTGATAAGTTATGTAAGAAAAAAACAAATCATGCAAAGCAATAGAAGAGAATGGGGGCTGCTTTTAAAAGGATACCTCCCTTAGGAGACTGACATTTGGACAGAGAGTTGAACACAGTGAATGAGAACGCCAAGCAGATGTCTGGAAGAAGAGTGCTCCAGGCAGAGGGCATAGTAGGCACAAAAGGCCCTGAGATGGAGTGCTACTGGAGAATTTTGAGCAGAGGAGCCATGTGATCTTAATTATCATTCTGAAGGATCACTTCGGCTCCTGTGTGAGCCTCTACACTTTGTAGAGGACAAGGGTGAAAGCTGGGAGATTATACAGGCAATAACCAATTTGGAGAAAGAAAAGATCTGATTTAAAACCATATAACAAGAAAAAATAGAATGCCAACTCATAAACCTCTCAAAATTTAGATAAAGAAAATGTTACACAAGGGATGCAGAACTTCTTAAATGGAAAGGTGAACCATGTTGTTAAATTGGAAAATTTGATGTAAACATATCTGTTTACCTAGAATAATCTACACATTTCATAGATTTCCAATGAAACTTCTATAAAGATGTTTTTTTAAACTAGATAAAGTAGTTCCAAATTCATATAATACAGAAGAAATAATAGCTGTGGAAATTCTAAAAGAGAATGCTAATGAAGGCCTATAGTATCCATCAGATTGTTTTATTAATAACCATATTGCAAAGTCTCAATAATCACAACAGTATGGAACTGGCAGGTGCATGACAGGTCAAAACAGTGGAGCAGAATTATAAGTTCATAAGCAGACCCGTATGTATATGTACAGAATGTGGCAAAAGTGACAAGTTAGTAGGGAAAGATAGATTTTAATAATTGGTACTGAAACAACCAGGTAGCCATCTGAAAAAATTAGCTTGGATCCACATCTCACTTCTTATACCAAGATAAATGCCAAATGGACCAGAAATTTAAATATAAAAATTACATTTTATAGATAATTTGTAGGTTCTTTACTAAGTGCTTTCACATACCTTTTCATTTACTGTAGCTTTTGTAGAATAAACAAAAAGGCTTCCACTGAATCTGTAGTAACATTCAGTATTCAAAGAAGAGCCGTCAGAGTAAAATGGGATTTACTGGGACTCAACCCTCTCCCGGAGCCAGGCTTTTGCTTAGCTTTGACCAGAGACAAAACAAAGGAGAATCCAAGTCCTGAAGAAAAAGGAACTTGATCAAATAGACTAAGGTGCAAAGTAGATTCTTGGTAGTTATTTAGCCTCCATTTTTCTAAATGAAGTAATCTGACCATGAGTAGTTTTTAACGATTGTTAATTGTCCTTCAAATCCTTCTTTCCTGCTCGGCACACACATTAAATTGTAAAATTCCCTCTCAGTAAAACAGAAGTGTTCCTTTTTTCTGCTCTAAACATATTTGATCCTCAAGACTCCAACTGCTTTTGGACAGCTGTACTTGCTGGCTCTGAAATCACAGGAGTTCACATTGACTTTCCCATGTTTGAAAAACTACTGCTGCAGAACTTATTTCAGATACAAACACTAGTGACAAAGGGGTTGGCCTGAAGGTGGCTTCTTAAACACAAGCCGTCACGTTGGTTTGCGTACACAAATGCCTTTCTGAGGGCGTGGGAGCACTGTGGTGTTAGACCTCACTTGCCAGCTCTCAGTGTTTTCCTCTGTCTTCAGTAGTATTATCCATGTCAAGGTTAGGTGATTTGCAGAAGGTGACTTTTGAGCAGACATACTGAACCCTATTCATAAAGGCGAACATTGAATAATTCTAAATTTTGCAAGATTACGTCTTCTCTTGAGAACCACGAGCTGTATTAAATATGTCCCCTAAATTGTCTTCTTAACCTCACCACGGAGAAAGCTCACATGTAGGTACAAACTCAACTGTAACAGAATTTGTGTAGAATGAGTCACCACTTTATAAATTCATATATTCTCATTGGTCAGTAATATTTCTCAAGTATAATAGTGATATATAAAGGAGAGTAATATCCCAAGCAGTATTCCCATGTTCTCGTCCCAAACACCAACTAGAAGATTGTTCTTTTATACCCAGTTTTAGACATTTATACCCAAAGCATTTCCACATATAAAATTTTACAGATAGGCTCACTCTGCAAAGTCAATAAAAATGGGGGGGCTCCTCTGAATGCAGGACACGAGCCCGCTCACCCTGAGCCCTCTGGGCAGCCACACACAGACCTTTGTACGTGGCCTTGGGCTCCGGGGAGCACAGGCTGACCTCACTGCTAAGATTCTCACAGCCAAATTTTGGGTGAGAACTATACTGCAGAGTTTGAAGATAAATTCTCTGCCAGGGCTCTAAAATACAGAACTTTTGTATTAAAGGTGTTAAAAAACAAAATCCAACCAAGTAAATTAAAGATCAGATCGACTTTTTCAACAATTCGTGGATCAGGCAGCATCCCATCTACTACTAGAAGGGCACTCACTCTGAGGAGCTGTGCACAGTGGAAGGTTTTTTGGGAAAAGGGTGGAGCAAGAGGAGAGCAGAATGACTTATTTTTAGGCCAAAACATCTTTTGGGGTGGGGGAGGAAGCAGCAAGGTTTTAGCTTCCTTTGGGGGTTGGAGAGGCCCACAGAACAGGTTACCTTGCTGGGGCTTGACCAGAAATTTCAGACTGGTTGATTAAGATTACATTTCTGAGAGAAGTTGAAACTGTAGTTAGACCAAATATTCAATCTGGGTTCAGTATCATGAGCTTTTAGCATGAGTGATACCATATTGGGACTGTGGTTTTCATTTTAATACAAGTAAAAGGCAAGTCCACATGTTTCAATAATCAAGGAAACCTAAGTAAAGTTAACCTTGTGTCTGAAAGTTAAAAGCCAACCCAGATGCCGGCCTGAATAAAGGCCACCCCACTTTTGTTCCAGAGACGGGCTGAAAATCAGGATTTCTGTGTATGTGTGTATATCCACATATGTATGTACATATATACACACATAAATGTGCATATGCTTTTAAATAAATCAAAGTGTAATGCATAAGTAGTTGGCATGGCCCTGAATGAGTGAGTTTTCTTATGAGTCAATCTATTTCTTCTCATTAGGTCAATGACCGCATTCAAAGGAGACAGCAAAGTTATGAAATTATTTGCCAAACACATAAAGGTAAGCAAGGGCCTGTGGTTCCTGGTGAGAGCGGAAGTGATGCCTCGGGGCCACGTCAGACCTTAGTTTGTTCACTTCAGCCACTTCACCTTAGCTCCTTGGTGCCTCGCTTACACATCTAACACCCAGTCTGGCTTTCTTTGCATTCCCTGCCTTGGTCCCCACAGCAGTCGCCAGTCCTCTGTGCTCTGATACTCCTGTCCAGAAGCTGAGGCTTGACCAGTTTTCTAGGGAGACATTCTCTTCCGTCTTGATGTTAACCTTTGCCCCGGAAGTTGACCCTAAACAGGAGGAGCTCCTTGTGCTGTTTCGCTTTCTTAGCTTTTAGGTTAAATGCTCTAAAATTGGGCTGTGGTTGAACTTTCCAACGACTCTTCTTTTCTGTCTTCTCTTCCATGTCGAAATAGGTCCAGGAGCAGGTAAAACTGCTGGAGAAGCGTGTAGTGCACCTGGGCGTGGGAACTCCAGGGAGGATTAAAGAACTCATCAAACAAGGTATGAGAAGAGCTGGTGATGCTCCGACTCAGAGCTGAGTGTCCGCCTCACCCCGTGTGAGTCTGCGAAATCACGTTTGTGATGCAGGGACTCCAGACCTCTGTGTTTTTAGTTAACTCAGGGTTGGAAACTCAGCCTTTAGTCGCAAGAAAGCAGCCAGCAGCTGTAGTGCAGTGGGGAATGATAAGGACTGTTGCTAACGACAGTATATGTGCCCGTCTAAATACATTCACATTCCAATTGCCTTAAGCAGGTGGGTGGAGTCACAGTTTATTACACCAGTTTGCAGCCTCTGGACTTTGTAAGCTACTGTGTTGAGTGTTTCCCTCTCACTGAATTGAGTCTTGGCTCCCCAAGGCTCCCATTCCAGTTGAGGGCTGGTATAGAAAATATGTTGAAAGAAAGTGCAGTTTCTATGGATGAAATTCAAGTATTCTAGAACATTTCTCGCGAGTTCATTTCCTTTTAGTACTTTACCTAGAAAGTATTCCAGATAGCATCCACTGGTGGGTTTTTATAGTTTGATGACTTTCTCAAAGCCAGTAGCCTAAAAACCTTTTGGCCTCCTGATGATCTTAGTACATTTTTCTACCTGCCAGACAGATTAAAGTATTTCTTTTAAATGCTCATTTCCAAATGACTTGCTCAAAACTTTATTTTATAACTGTCTGGAGCTGTTCCTTGATTTCTGTGTGTCTAAAAATAATGTGTTCATCAACATAGTATCTCAGTATAGAGATGGTCTTTTACCTGGAAGCAAAAAAGAGCTAAAAATACTATTATTTCTCTCCAGATGAAAACCAGGCATAAGCGAACCCACTATATGCAGAAGTCTGTGCAATTACAAGTAGCAAACTTGGTAGACCCAGACAAGGAGAGGGAAACAAATATTTTTTGCATTCCTACTTGTCCTGAGTGCTGTGCTAAACACCCTTATATATCTCATTGAGCACACAGAGCATCCTTGCAGACTAGCATGCTTATTTCTTAAGAGGGGAAACTGCATCTTAGAAGGGTTACGTAGCCCCTCCCAAAACCCTCTTATTCTAGGCCTTCCTGATTCCAGAGCCTTTCCCCTTCAGAGAGCTCCTGATCTGGTTGAAGAGATGTACATAGAATGAGGATGACAGAAATAATGCCAAGGGCCAAACCAGCTCTTGAGTCTGTATGAGTTGAAATGAAGGGGAGGTTGTTTTGGCAGCTGAATCTGCAAGGAAGGCTTTATAGAGAAAGGAGTCTTTAACTGATATTTGAAGTATGGATAGGATTCAAATAGGACCTTTGAAGTATGGAAATGTGAGAAAAGCATTCAGGAATGGGAGAACAGATGAATCAGAAGTGGACAGGTAGATACACAGTCTATATCCAGAGGACGCAGTGTGTAAGCAATACCGTGTCAGGGAAAAGAGCCTCTGCTAGGGACTGAAGCCTCTAGATGCACATCCCAGGTCTGGCAGCTACCGTCTCTGTGACTTGGCAAGTTTCTTAACATTTCTGAACCTGTTTCTTTATCTGAATGACAGAGATGGTAAATGCACCCACCTTATTGCAAAATTTAGACTTCAGTGGAAGAAAGTAGGGAAAACCACTAGGCCATTAAGGAATAACCTAAATCAAATCTCTTACAATGTGACAAATAGATTCAAGGGATTAGATATGATAAACAAAGTGCCTGAAGAACTGTGGACAGAGGTTCATGACTTTATATAGGACGTGGTGATCAAAACCACCCCAAGAAAAAGAAATGCAAAAAGGCAAAATGGCTGCCTGAGGAGGCCTTATAAATAGCTGATAAAAGAAGAGATGCAAAAGGCAAAGGAGAAAAGGAAAGATACACCCATCTTAATGCAGAGTTCCAAAGAATAGCAAGGAGAGATAAGAAAGCCTTCCTAAGTGAACAATGCAAAGAAATAAAGGAAAACAATAAAGGAAAAACTGAAAAGGAAAGACTGGAGGTCTCTTCAAGAAAATTAGAGATACCAAGGGAACATTTCATGCAAAGATAGGCACAATAAAGGACAGAAATAGTATGGACCTAACAAAAGCAGAAGATATTAAGAAAAGGTGGCAAGAATACACAGAAGAAATATACAAAAAAGATCTTCATGACCCAGATAACCATGAAGGTGTGATCATTCACCTAGAGCCAGATATCCTGGAGTGTGAAGTCAAGTAGGCTTTTGGAAGCATCACTATGAACAAAGCTTGTGGAGATGATGGAATTTCAGCTGAGCTATTTCAAATCCTAAAAGAAGTGAAGGTCGCTCAGTTGTGTCTGACTCTTTGCATCTATACAGTCCATGGAGTTCTCCAGGCCAGAATACTGGAGTGGGTAACCGTGCCCTTCTCCAGGGGATCTTCCCAACCCAGGGATTGAACCCAGGTCTCCTGCATTGCAGGCAGATTCTTTGCCAGCTGAGCCACCAGGGAAGGCCATCCTAAAAGATGATGCTGTTAAAGTGCTTCAGTCAATATGCCAGCAAATATGAAAAACTCAGCAGTGGCCACAGGACTGGAAAAGGTCAGGTTTCATTCCAATCCCAAAGAAAGGCAGTGCCAAAGAATGTTCAAACTCCTGCACAATTGCACTCATTTCACATGCTAGCAAAGTAATGCTCAAAATTCTCCAAGCCAGTCTTCAACAGTACTTCAACCAAGAATTTCCAGATGTTCAAGCTGAATTTAAATAGAAAAGGCAAAAGAACCAGAGATCAAATTGCCAACATCCGTTGGATCATAGAAAAAGCAAGAGAATTCCAGAAAAACATCTACTTCTGCTTCATTGACTATACTAAAGCCTCTGACTGTGTGGATCGCAACAAACTGTGGAAATTTTTTAAAGAGATGGGAATACCAGATTACCTTACTTGCCTCCTGAGAAATCTGTATGCCAGTCAAGAAGCAACAGTTAGAACCAGACTTGGGAAAACAGACTGGTTCCAAACTGGGAAAGGAGTATGTCAAGGCTGTATATTGTCACCCTGTTTTAACTTATATGCCAAGTACATCATACAAAATGCCAGGCTGGATGAAGCACAAGCTAGAATCAAGATTGCCAGGAGACATGTCAATAACCTCAGATATGCAGATGACACCACCTTTATGGCAGAAAGCGAAGAAGAGTTAAAGAGCCTCTTGGTAAAAGTGAAAGAGGAGAGTGAAAAAGCTGGCTTAAAACTCAACATTCAGAAAACTAAGATCATGGCATCCAGTCCCATCACTTCATGGCAAATAGATGGGTAAACAGTGGAAACAGTGGCAGACTTTATTTGGGGAGTCTCCAAAATCACTGCAGATGGTGACTGCAGCCATGAAATTAAAAGATGCTTGTTCCTTGGAAGAAAAGCTATAACCTACCTAGATAGTATACTAAAAAGCAGAGGCATTACTTTGCCAACAAAGGTTCGTCTAGTCATAGCTATGATTTTTCTAGTAGTCATGTATGGATGTGAGAGTTGGACCATAAAGAAGGCTGAGCACCAAAGAATTGATGCTTTTGAACTGTGGTGTTGGAGGAGACTCTTGAGAGTCCTTGGACTGCAGGGAGTTCCCATCATTCCATCCCAAAGGAAATCAATCCTGAGTATTCATTAGAAGGATTGATGCTGAGACTGAATCTCCAGTACTTTGGTCACCTGATGCGAAGAGCCAACTCCTTAGAAAAGACCCTGATGCTGGAAAAGATTGAAGGCAGGAGGAGAAGGGGATGACAGGACAGGATGATTGGATGGCATCACTGACTCAATGGACATGAGTTTTAGCAAGCTGCAGGAGATGGTGAAGGACAGAAAAGCCTGGTGTGCTGCAATCCTTGGGGTTGCAAAGAGTGGGACACGACCAAGCGACTGAACAACAAGGGATATGTTATGCCAGTAAAAAGCTAAACACAGTGAGTGTCACTCCTTAGGAACTCAACAAATACTAGTTACTACTTTTATTAAAGAGACCGCCTTTTCTTGGTTGGAGACTTTACTGGCTGTAGTAGCCTGTACTTCCGTTGGAAAGCAGTTCAGATTCTGGAGGAAGGCCTTGCACAGTGATTGGCTGGATTTTTGTCTTGTGGCCCCAGGAGGGTGTTGCAAGTGAAAGAGCAGATGAGAGGTGCTCATAGTCCATCCAGGAGACATGGAGTCAGGAGAGATTGGCTGGGCAGCCGGAGGGCCCAGGGATGCACCGTTTAGCTTAGCCAAAGGCTCACCTCTCCCTTGCTGTATTCCACATGTTTTGTATGTGTCACCACCACCGCCCCACCCCCTACCCCAGGCAACAGGGTCACTTTTCTCCATATTTAATATTTAAAAGAGAGGGAGACAGAGAAAACAAAGTTGTTCAGATTGTTGAAATTAGAGTTCTGCAGAGTTGTGAAAACTCACTGTGAAAGCTTACTTCATCTGAGATGTGGAAAAATCATTTAAGGAGCTGTTGATTTTTTTATAAAAGGAAAATAACTCTTCTGATTCTGACTGAACCAATGGTTTAATATTCATTGACTACAGATGTTAGGCTATATACAAAGTGTTTAAAGAGAAACAATTCCATCACTCTAAAAACTGAAAATTTAACAAAGTAATTCAAATGGCACATAACACATTTTATGTAGCTGTTTATGACTTGAGATGTTTATATATGTGCTATATTAAGGAGAGTTTCTAAACGTCAAAAGCTATCCCATAACACTTACAGACAGAATTGTATTGTTTTATTTAATAAGGGGATTTTCTAATTATAAGAGCCTTTGTAAAATGCAAAAAGATACAGAAAAAAAATAAGTTACTTTAGAGATACCACTTATCAGTTAATATTAATTATATATCTTTCAGTCTTTTTCCCTATGCATTTGTCTATGTCTTTTTACAAATGGAAATCATACTGCATATCATAACTTTACAATTGTCTTCTCTACTTAATACGCTTCCCTGGTGTCTCAGACAATAAAGAATCCGCCTGCAGTGTGGGAGACCTGGGTTGGATCCCTGGGTTGGAAAGATGCCCTGGAGGAGGGCATGGCAACCCACTCCAGTATTCTTGCCTGGAGAATCCCATGGACAGAGGAGCCTGGCAGGCTATAGTCCATGGGGTCACAGAGAGTGGGACATGACTAATTACAGTACTCAATATGTCAATATCTCATGAGAACTTTCCATGTCATGAAATAGTTATATTTTTTCATTTTTAGTGGCTGCATAATATCCTGTTGAGCTTTTTTCCAGTTTAGCAGAGATATAATTGACATATATCATTGTATCAACCGAGGTGTGCATGATTGGTTCATGTGATACCTGTGAAATGATTACTACAATAAGTTAGATTAACACCAGTTACTTCACATAGTTCCATTTTTTTTTATCATGGGTACATGTGATACCTGTGAAATGATTACTCCAGTAAGTTTGATTAACATCAGTCACTTCATGTAGTTACAATTTTTTTTTTCTTGTCATGAGAACTTTTAAGATCTACTCTCTTTAGCAACTTTCACATATATAGAGTACAGTGTTGTTAACTGTAATCACCATGCTGTATTTTACATTCCCAGCACTTATTTATCTTATAACTGGAAGTTTTTACCCTTTGACCACCTTCAACTATTTTTTCCTGCCTGTCATCCCTGGCAACCACCATCAATCTATTCTCTATAGCTATGAGTTCATTTTTTGGTTTTGTTTCTTTTTTTTTAGGCTCAACATATAAGTGAAATAATACAGTATTTGTCTTTCTCTATCTGACTTGTTGCGCTCAGTATAATGCCATCAAGGATCACCCATCTTGTCACAAATGGTAGGGTTTTCTTTTTATGGCTGAGTAATGTGTGTGTGTGTGTGTGTGTGTGACAAAGAACATTGACATTCTTTATCCATTCATTTGTCAGTGAGTAGACACTTAGGTTGTTTCTGTGTCTTAGCTATTAGCAGTAATTTTGCAATGAACATGGGGGTACAGATATCTTTTCAAGATAATGATTTCATTTCCTTTGGATATATAACCAGAAGTGGATTTACTGGGCTGTAGGGTGGTTCTATTTTTAACTTTCAGAGAAACCTCTAAAGTATTTTCCATAATGGCTATACACAAATCTACAATCCCCCCAGAAGTGCACATGGGTTTCTTTTTCTCCACATCCTTGCCTGTACTTGTTATCTCTTGTCTTTAGGTAATAGTCATTCTCACAGGTAAAAGGTGATAGGTCATTGTGGATTTGATTTGCATTTCCCTGTTGGTTAGTGATGTTGAGCTCCTTTTATATAGCTGTTGGCCATTTGGATGTCTACTTTGGAAAAAATATCTATTCAGTTCCTACACCCATTTTTAAATCAAATCATCTTTTTTTTTTTTTTGCCATGGAGTTGTACCAGTTCTTATATATTTTGCATATTGATTCCAAGTTATATGGGTGTTTAACACTTCTATTAAGGCAGGATATTTGGGTTGTTTCTAATTTTTTTGCTCATGTAAGTGGGTACACATTTATCATCTTTTTAAGTAACCGTGCTTAAGTTTCTGGTGTTTTATTGAAATGGAAGAATTATTTTATCAAACTCCAAGCATTTTAAAGCTCATGTTATATCATGTCCAGTTGCCTTCCAGAAAGACTGTACCTATTTGCTATCCCACCATCAGGTCAATTATTTTTAAGGGAACACTATTAACCCATTGTCTTTCTTCATTTATATCATTTTTAATTTACAGAGAGAGTCTTAAATAAGAGGCAATGTAGTTATAAGAAGCATGAAAAAGTCTTTGGGGAGAGAGGAAATTACTGAAATAAACCAGTATTGAGGGGAAGGGCTGCGGGATAAAAGAAGGCTTTGTTATTTATGTTTCCAGGTGTGACAGCTTGGGGGCAGTGGGCAGAACGTGGGGAGTGGGGAAAAGCTAACTGCCCAATTCTGGGACCTCTGAGGAACAGACAACCTCTGAGGTCCCCTTCCACCCCACGTTTCAATATTGTCTCTAGATAGATAAGAAGACAGTAGGAATGAGTCGTTTACCAGTCTTTTCAAAGGACAGCAGACTTTAGAGCTCATTCATCTTAACTCTCGTTTCTGCCTGAAATTAACCTCCCAACCCTGTCCTCAACCTTCTGCTGATTCACCTTTTCAGAGCCAGGCAGACTCTACTGGATTCAACTCCTCTGAAGGGTCCCTGCCCTGAACTGTAGGATCAGTTCAGTTCAGTTGCTCACTCGTGTCTGACTCTTTGCGATCCCGTGGACTGCAGCACGCCAGGCCTCCCTGTCCATCACCAACACCTGGAGTTTACGCAAACTCATGAACTGTAGGATACATCTTACCAAATTCCTGTCAGAATGAGAGTTCACCCTCTGGGGCTTGGTGAAATGGAGGCTGGGATTGATTCTTTGCCAGCCGTTGAGCATTTCACAAGCTTAGCAAGAGCAGCTTCCCCGAGAACCAGTGGTGAGATTATAAGGAGAGCAAGTCTCAGAGTGCTGCGTTTGTTTTCCGTCAGACAGGGACAGCACTTAATGTGCAGGGATTAGTTGCCAGTGTTGGGGGGATGGGATGGGGAGAAAAGAACAAATGAGGCCAAAGAAAAAGCAACCAAAGGGATAAAAAATCCTTTTAATAAGCTTATGTCATGAGTTCTTTAATGTAGCAATTCTGTCTCTTTCAGGTGGCCTTCATTTGAACCCCTTAAAGTTTCTGATTTTTGACTGGAACTGGAGAGATCAGAAGTTGAGAAGGATGATGGACATTCCCGAGGTACCGTGTAACCAGCAATCCAGCACTTCCCTTTAATCTTTTTTTTTTCAATTTGAACTTGAGTTCAAACACAGCAATAAAGTCTTTGACATGGGGAGCCAGCACATTCTGGCCTTTGAAATGATTTCTTTTAACTCTGAAGTAACTACAATTACAGAGGCCATCTCACCCCTTACACATAACTGTATCCTTCCCATGTGTTTCATAGGAATCAGCTTTGGTTCTTCATTGAATGCCCAATGGCCTCTGCCCCACTGGGGTCCACATCTATACCTTTGGGAAACAGGAAGGTCTGGAGGACTTGGCGTATTTCCCTGTGCCTTGTTTTAGAGACATGATCATCTTTGCCTTTTTATCCTTAGAAGTGCATTTGGAGGTGAGGGGCACAAACTTGCCTCATCGCCTGCATCTCCACATACCCAAAAGCCTGCTTACATAATGAGCAATTTATGTCTTGAGGAGTGGGGAAATTTTTTTGATGTCTCAGTGAGTTAACAAACTGATTGAATACCTTTGTGGGACCAGCATTAGCGGATTATATATTTTTGAAAGTCATCCATCATCATCATCATGTGACAATTGACTTGACACCCACCATGTTATCATGGGGCTAATCTTTCAATCTAGCCTGATGCTGAGAAGTAGCGGTTGGAGAGAGGGTTGTGCAGTAACAAACATGGCTGCCAGTCCCAGCCAGAGATAAATCATGGCAGTGACTGTCAAAGAAGCTTTTGCAGTCCAAATGTGCTGAATTAAATTGCTGTATAAGACTATATCCTCAGAATGGCCAAACCTGATTTTAACTGATTAGTGAGTTAGGCTAAAAACCATTGTCTGAGTTTCCTACACACACACACACACACACACACACAGTCTCCTGCACACACACACACACAGTCTCCTGCACACACACACACACACACAGTCTCCTGCACACACACACACACACACACAGTCTCCTGCACACACACACAGTCTCCTGAACTGACTGGTTTCTTGAAACCTGTTACCAACTTGATGTAAGGCACATGAGGGCATATTTGATGATTTTGCTTATAATGTTAAATCTGAGTAACCACCACTAGTTTTCTAAGTATCATAATGAGGAAGAAATAGGATTCACAAAAACCCTTTTAACCCACTTATTTTTATTGTGATGATGTCATTATTAGTAGTTACCCTGTATTAAAATACTGTGTATAGTCTAGACATACTTTGGATATCTTGAAACACCTTTGTGTAAGATTTTTTTCTATGAGAGTTTATTTTGAAGGGCTACAAACAAGAACTGATGTCTTATGTAGTTCCTCTTCCTTTAATTATGTAAATATTTCCAACCTGAATAAAATGCAGGTTTTGCTCTTCCTGATTTGGCCGTAACAGCTGCATAAATACCAAGGGATTCCAGATAGTTGAATTTATTCAACAAGTCCATCATCTCTTGATCTTAAACTTTTTTTTTTTCTTCTTTTCCCTCCCTTAGATAAGAAAGGAGGTTTTTGAACTTCTGGAAATGGGAATCCTCAGTCTGTGCAAGACAGAATCTTTGAAGCTGGGCCTTTTCTAAATCTGGATCCTAATGAAAAGTCCTGTTTTCCTGGTGGGATTTATATGGCTCTGGCCCATTGTAAGCACTTGGTAAATACCAGCTATTGTTTATTAAGTTGACTGTATCACCAGATGGCTCACTAGGAATCTTAGGTGGGGATTCTTTTACAAAATGAATGTGTCCTTTGCCAAATCCCTTGTGTAATAAAGCATCTCTGGCTTGTGTGTGATTTTTGTTAAGGAGACTGAGTTTTTCTTTCACCAGCTGGCCTCTGATGTGACTATACAAGAGACGGTATTACCAAATCACAAGTCCATATGCCCAATGCACAGTGAGGCCAAACAATACTAAAACAGGGGAGTTTGGAACAGGTACAGGTTTATTACAGGTTCATGCAAGGAGATGGGTAGCTTATCCCTTAAGAACCCCAAAATTACTGAAAGCTTCCAGCAAAGCCCTTTTCTAGGAAAGGTGAAGGATGAGTGTGGTTAGTTGTTGGAGACTTCTTGGTGTCAGATCCTTTGTTTTTGAGGTCAGGTCATGATCAGGTCACGATGTTCCTATAAATCTCTACCAAACAAATGTTATCCTTTGTTCTGACAAGAAAGGGCAAGGTCCCAAGGAATAGCTATCATCCTTCAAGGTCTTGGTCCTGGCTAAAAGGAGGCAGATCTTAGTTGGCAGCTTCCTCAGAGCCAGGTTCCCACACCCTGCCCAGCCGTCATTGCTGGGGGAGCCAGACATCCCACCCAGCTGGCCCTCAGGCTCCTCAGGCCATCCAAACACGGGGTGGCGGGCTTGGCAGGTGGGACCGGGTTCCTCAGACTGCGACCCCGGCAGAAGGCCACTGTCAGGCAGCAGAGACGGGGTGGGGGAGGCTCACCACAGCCTCAAGACCAGGGCTCTGCAGTCCTGCTGGACACAGCCCCCAGTCTGTCCCGTGGCCCAGGGCTGGCTGAACTGGAGGGCCTCCCGGAGAAGGCCTCAACTCGCCTCTCACCTCGCTCTACCTGACGACCACCCCTCCGCTGACTGCTGGCTAATCACTTCCCTAATGGTCGCCCACTGACGGCTGCCTGTGGGCAGGGCCCCACTGAGGCACTGACCAATGGGTGAGCAGGACCTGTTGCCTGAGGGTGCGGAGTCATGATGCACAGCATGGCTACCTGCTAAGGGCTGCGCTTTCTTACAAAGGGAAAGAGCATCCGGGCAGCCTCAGGCAAGCCCCTTCCCTCTCTGAGCCTCCGTTTCATCAGCTATGAAATGGGAATACCACCTTGCAGGATTGCTGAGTATCTCATGAGACGGCACATGTGGGACAGATTTGTCAACTGCGATGCCTCGTCCCAGTGTGGAGGGTGTAGTGGTGGGAAGAGCTGCAAGTACATGCGGCAATTTATAAGCTAATAAAAGACAACAGTATAACTACAACTACCTTATTCATCTGTTTAGCTCTTTGTTTTGAGATAATTTCATAGTTACAGAAAAGTAGCAAAAATAGTATAGAGAATTCCCATATTCCCTTCCCCCATGTTAACATCTTGTATAATTACGCAGTACAGTTATCAAAACTAAGAAATCAACATGGGTATAATACAACTAACTAAACTACAGACTTGATTTGGATTTTTACCAGTTTTCCCACTGATGTCCTTTTTCTATTCCAAGATCCAGTCAAGGATCCCACATTGCACATAGTTGTCATTCCTTATAAAATATATTTAGAAAAATAGGTATAATCTGTCACATTTAATCATTTAATCATTAAAATAGTTCTGGAAGAAATGTCTTATTTGTATTTTCTAGATGATGAAACTGAATCTCAGGAAGGACACATTAGTTTAAGTAGCGAACCAGAAGGCAAACCCAGATCTCCCATACTCACTTAAGGACACCATGGTTATCTGTCTGGATAGTCAGGCATATACAACAAATGAGAAAATAAAGCAAACAGACGCCATTAGTGCATTCCACATTCAAATTTGTGAGCTTTTAAACGAGCCTAGCAGCATAACACAAATCACACTCCAGCAGATTACCTGCTTCCTCCCACCAGCCGCCCGCTGCTCCTGCGCCTCCGTGGGCTAGAAGCCACACACAGGAGTTCCAAGGCTAAGGGGGCAAGTTCCGTTCTGCGGGACCCCGGATCAAACTCCACAAGGTAGAGGAAAAAGAAAGCAAGCCTCCACAGAATGAAAAGTCACCCAGGCTACACATAGCTCAGTGTAACCCCTGCGGGGCTGACCCTCCCCCACGCAAGAGCGAATTCCGCCTTCCAACTGAAGCATCGCCTCTTCTTGCCTGATGACCTTCAGACTGACATGCCGCCGCTTCCTGGCTCTCCAGCAGCTTTTGGCCTTCAAACTCAGACTTGAGGAACATCAGCTCTCCAGATTGTGGACTTAACCTCCTCCATGGTCCTGTGAGCCAGTTCTTTGTGATAGATCTATTCTCTTTCTCTGGCAATCCTAATGTACTCCTGTGAAGCACCTTTGGGATTTTGGTTAGGTTGGTTTTGTTGCTTTATAAAAAGCGTAACAAAAACTGTTCTTGATCTGTTATCGTAATGACCCCTCAGGTAGACATTACCTGTTTTCTGTAATCTCACCCAATGTTGAAACAAGTACCTAGATAGCAAACACATCTGATATTTTGTAGGCCAACTCTGCACACTTAATCTAATCTCACAGGCTGTTACTGAACTAAGGTTCTTGACCACATTTACTTATTAAAACAAATAGTAGGTGTGAACTAGAAGTGTTCACTACTGTCTCCTCACACAAATAAGATACCAACAGCCGTACTTATCACTACCCTCAAGCCAGATTCAAATGGCTTGCTGAAAAGTTCCAATTGGTGTTCTGCTTTTTTCCAGTCTTGCCGGGGGAAACTTTGACTCTGAATTGGAAACATCCCACTGTAAGTAGTTGCATTTGTTCTGTATCCTTTTAAACTAGGTAGATTTGCCCAAGTCATTTTCTTCTAATATAAGAGTCCATCGTGGCTTCTCTGCATAATGTTAATAAAAAAGATTAGAGGCTCGCATGCTGCCTAATTTTTCGAAAATCCTGATTCTACATTTTAAATGCATCTTGAAGAAGTAATTATTAATAGCCTAATGAAAATAATGTTAGTAGACTTCTAATATGTGAAAAAGCAAAACCAAACCAAACAATGATACCATATTACAATATTGAACACTTAAAGGATTATTTTCCTCTTGCTTTCTCTTATCTCATTTGGGCTCCATCAAAGCAGGTGCTTGGAGAAAGGTTAAGAGGAGATGTTTTTCTTTTTTTATTTATTTATTTATTTATTTATTTTTTATTTTTTATTTTTTTATCACAACCATAGTGTATCTTTTTTTTTTTTTTTTTTACATGTATTCCCCATTCCGGTCCCCCCTCCCACCTCCCTCTCCACCCAATCCCTCTGGGTCTTCCCAGTGCACCAGGCCCGAGCACTTGTCTCATGCACCCAACCTGGGCTGGTGAACTGTTTCACCCTAGATAATATACGTGTTTCAATGCTGTTCTCTTGAAACATCCCACCCTCGCCTTCTCCCAGAGTCCACAAGTCTGTTCTATACATAGGAGTCTCTTTTTCTGTTTTGCACATAGGGTTATCGTTACCATCTTTCTAAATTCCATATATATGTGTTAGTATACTGTAATGGTCTTTATCTTTCTGGCTTACTTCGCTCTGTATAATGGGCTCCAGTTTCATCCATCTCATTAGAACTGATTCAAATGAATTCTTTTTAATGGCTGAGTAATATTCCATGGTGTATATGTACCACAGCTTCCTCATCCATTCGTCTGCTGATGGGCATCTAGGTTGCTTCCATGTCCTGGCTATTATAAACAGTGCTGCGATGAACATTGGGGTACACGTGTCTCTTTCAGATCTGGTTTCCTTGGTGTGTATGCCCAGAAGTGGGATTGCTGGGTCATATGGCAGTTCTATTTCCAGCTTTTTAAGAAATCTCCACACTGTTTTCCATAGTGGCTGTACTAATTTGCATTCCCACCAACAGTGTAAGAGGGTTCCCTTTTCTCCACACCCTCTCCAGCATGTATTGCTTGTAGACTTTTGGATAGCAGCCATCCTGACTGGTGTGTAGTGGTACCTCATTGTGGTTTTGATTTGCATTTCTCTGATAATGAGTGATGTTGAGCATCTTTTCATGTGTTTGTTAGCCATCTGTATGTCTTCCTTGGAGAAATGTCTGTTCAGTTCTTTGGCCCATTTTTTGATTGGGTCATTTATTTTTCTGGAGTTGAGCTGGAGGAGTTGCTTGTATATTTTTGAGATTAATCCTTTGTCTGTTGCTTCGTTTGCTATTATTTTCTCCCAATCTGAGGGCTGTCTTTTCACCTTGCTTATAGTTTCCTTTGTTGTGCAAAAGCTTTTAAGTTTCATTAGGTCCCATTTGTTTATTTTTGCTTTTATTTCTAAAATTCTGGGATGTGGGTCATAGAGGATCCTGCTGTGATTTATGTCGGAGAGTGTTTTGCCTATGTTCTAAGAGGAGATGTTTTTCATCAACACCTTCTTACCAGAGTCCTTCTTATGTATGAGAGAGTTGGAAACTACTGAGATTAGACATCTGTGTTCTGCAATTCCTGTTTCTTTCTCCCTCCCTCATTATCACAAATAGCAAAGTTAGCTATAACCTGAGAGCATTTTCCCAACTTAGTTTATATTCATGTTAATGGACAGTCTCATTTGTTGAAAGTTGACTGCACTCACTTCTATTTTTTGTATTAATCTCCAAGGATTTGGGCAAGTTCTTAAAGATAAATCCATTTTCCCCTTTCAGGAAAGGCTTGCCTTGAATTAGTCACCACATCCCGGAAATAGCCTGCTGTAACTGCTTCCCAGTGTCACCAGATGTGGGTTTATACTGGGGACTATTCCTCCTAGGACCTGCTGGGGACTATTCCTCCTAGGCAGGGTACTTAGCACAAGGTTTTTGAACCTAAGAAAACTGTACGAAGCCATGGCTGATTGAAGGGAGCTGCGCTCTTCCTGAACAGAGGTCTGATTAAGGCATGATTCTAGGAAGCAGAGGTACCTTGCCACCACAAAGGAAGAGTCACATAATTCTTAACATTAAGTGGTGTTACTTTGAGCAGTAATGTCATAAATGTCTGAGAAGTATATGTGGGTCACCTGCAGGACCAGAATGAAGAGGAAATCCCAGGACTGCAAGTCCAGATTGCCAGACAACTCTGCGGTGAAGCAGCAGCAGTTGCCTGCCTTCCGGCTCCAGCTCTCAGCCAACGAGATCCTCTCTGGCTTTTTTGCCACAGGGGTCTTCTGCCTTGGCATGGGCGTCATCCTTCTGTTGTCTGCAAAGAGCATCAGAGAAATAGAGGTCTGTCCCATCTGACACTTTAATGCATTCTAAGGATTTTAGCTCTGGGACTATAAGGAATGGTCAGTGTGAGAACTCAGCCCCTCCGTAGGGAACTAGACAAGACTGGAGCTCCCCTTTTGCAGATGGTGATAGAGCCGCTGTGTGCTGTATTCATCCCTCCTCTCTCTTGAGGACACGCGCGCTCAATCTGGTCAGTTCAGCCATACTTGTTTACAGGGGCCTGGCAAAGTCAGGAGCTTTTCATGCTGGCGGAGTCCCCGAGCAAGCGACTAGTGGAGGTGGGAGGAGAGGCAAGACCAGAGGACTGCCAGACACCTGTGAATCATGTTGATAAAAAGTGTGAAGAGCCAAAGACACAGGTCTTCAAATTTGTGCCACTTTCAAGCGTTTGCCTCTCCCTTTGCAAATAGACTCCCTCAGATCATTGTCTTAATCCAGGAAAGGAAAGATCGCAAATCTTTCTGGCCTCTAAAGGATTCTTGCTAAAATAAATCAGGTTCTACTCAGAGTGAGAAAAGCTGAAGCTAAGCTGTGACCCCCTCAGTCATAAGCCTTTTGCCAATTTGACTAACAAGCCACTGGAGAATGAGAAGCCCAGAAGCTGGTCTGCGGAAGGGAGCTCAGATCTGGCCTGATGCCATGCCCACATTTGGTCTCATAAATTAAGGAAATGCTTCACGCCAATCAGCTCTGAGCAGATTACCAAGACCATATGACCTCTACTCTGAAGGCTGCCATGGAAAGCTCATCTAGTCCCTCTCCCCATAGGCTAGTGGCAAAATTACCATGGAGGCCAAGTCTGGCAACACTGATTTAACATCCATGAGTGTATGCACACGTGCTCAGAGTTCTTTTGGGTGTGCAGATGAGTAAACTCTAAGTAAGAGTCAATTCCTGCCTTCAGTGAGCACATGATGATAGAGTAAGCAAGACAGTGGGTGCCAGGAAGAGAGCGCCCAGCTGCGGCTGGCGTGTTTGGTGTACCCACAACCCCTTCCTTGCACGTTGCCAGTGCATAACAGGCACTCACTTATCAAAAGAATGGATTTGAGCAAGCAGTGGGACTTTAAAGAAGAAAAATACCATTTCAGGTCCCACTCCTCCTACCCACACATCCTGCTCTATTGCCTTTCCCCTGAAATGTCCTACTCTCCCCTCCCCCTCCTGGCAGGCTGTCTTCCCAGTGGCCCTAATTCCTCTTGAGTCCTCCAGGGCGATCATATAAACCACCCGGCCCTCCCATGTGGCAGAGACCAAAACTGCAGGAGGAAAGTAAGCTTGCCTTGTTGAAGGCGGCAGCAAAGTAATTGGCTTGCAGGGTTGATGTTCATTCCCACAAAGAGCGCATCCTGTTTCCTTTTCCATTTTATTCTTCACCAACCCTTCTTTCTCGTTCTTCCCCTCCTCTTCCCACGTCCTTCCCGCTTCCTCCCTTCTGAGCACCCATCCCCACCCACGATGAAGTGCAGCCTCCATTACAAGGCAGCCATTGCTGAATGATGTCGCCTTACGCGTGAGAGGAGAACCTCACCCCATGGTTGGCCGAGGCCACTCTGCAGACAAGTTTCAACAGAGTGGTTTTATCATGATTTTAAGAGGATTTTTCAATCAACTGTTCTTTTCAGCCAGTTCAGCTAGGACTGTTTCTAAGCGTTTTGTTTTTATACAGAAAAACCAGAAGCCGCCCATAGAGTGTGGTCCTCTATTGCACATGAAAGTGTTTCATTATGATGGGTGATGAGATGAAGCGTGTATCTCAGACCAGTGTTGTCAACACACACTCAGTAGAAGAGTCCTGAGCTGGTTTTTCTCTTCTCATGAGTGAGCCCTGAGGCACAGCAAGAAAGGGTCCTTTTTGCAATTCACTTTAAGCGAGAATGATAATTCCTGCCTCTCCAAAATTCTATGAGGGGCAGACTATGATCTTTGCTGTCATTTTAGAGCTACACGCTTACGGAAGCGCTCACGCAGCAAAGAAGATTAAACACGTTGATTTTTGATATGTTTTCCTCATAAGATTTTTGGAGCCAGAAAGCACATTGGATGTCATCTACTCAAAAATTTATTCATCAACAAAGACACTGTTTCCGTTTTGGCATTATAGAACTCTCACAAGAATCTGTGAAGTACAATGTACACTGCTGCAGTGAGCTCACAAATCAATTCATTGCTAGCCAAAATGATGCTGATGAACAAAATGTGGGCCCTGGAGGTTAAGTGTTTAACTCAAGATCAGAGACTGGATGAACACAGTTCAGTGCGCTAGCTCTCAATTAGATACAGCCCTGTTCTTTATTGCTTTTAAAAAATTAGAATGCAGTCTCACAAACAGAAAAGGTGTCAGTATTTTTAAAAATAATCGTTCAAGTTTTTCTGCATACTTAAAGAATGACTTAAGTAAATATAAGCAACTGAGTACAACTAAGTAGCCTTTTGGCTAATCTTTAATTTAGTATTCACACTTTACCCATTTGACTTCCAAACACCCAATGGCTTTGCAAGCATTCAAAATTCCTTCTTTCCTGTTAGTCTTCTCTCCCCAAGAATCTAAGATCTGATTGGTAACTTACTGGGAAGAAAACCAGCCCCTGTTCCTTTCCCATCCCCAGACTCTTCTACCCCCCACACCACCCCCCGGGTGCCCGAGACGAGTGTTCCCCGGAGCAGAGAGAAGTGCGTGGCCCCACGGCCTCTCTCTGAGCCTCCTTTCCCAACTCTCCTTGCAACTCCATCTTCACGTCACTGAGTCGAGCCAGAGCTCCCAGGATCTGCCCATGTGGGACACACTACCCTTTTTTTTTTTTAAAGAGTCCACTTATTCCATTTTGCACAGAATTTAACTTTCACAGAACATAACGGCATTTTTGAAACAATTGCTTCACATGCATCAGTAACTCTACATTTCTGAAGCACTTCTGTTTCTATGTTCGGTCATTTTTTAATAACTTCCTCAAGACATCATGCAGAAGAATTCACTAGTATGAGTATTTTCCATAGGATAACATGGAAAGCCAGTGGAGTGACTTCCCCAGAAAGCTGATTTGACCTGGGCCATGGGCCCGGTTCTCCTGAGTCACTGGCTAATACTTTCCTAATGGTGACCTCATCACAACAGGCTAGACATGCAGTGGGAAGCCTGAGCTCCAGTACATGGCAGAATACTGCCAGGTGCCAAAATGAGAGGAGGCCCCCTCCTCCGCATCCAGGGAGCTGGTTCGTGTCCCAGACAGCATGCCCTTGACCCGGTGAGCCTGGGCACTTGAGTGGACTCAGGATTTTAAGATATGTACTCACATCCCTTTTTAATTAATAACTGTCTTCTTCCCTGTCTGACAGATTAATTATACAGAAAAATGTGCAAGTTGTGCAAAACTGAGAGAAGATGCCACTAATTTTGACAAAGAATGCAGCTGCTCTATTTCCTTTTACCTTCCACAGAAAATGGAGGTGAGATTCAGGAGCCTTCACTGGCTCCATGCTGCTCTGGTCCTAATTAACGCGTGGCAGCGAGTTTGTGACCTCCACCGAACGCTGTCCCAAACTGAAAAGAGAAGACAAACCAAGCAGACCGGGGTGGCGGCGGGTCTTGTGAAGAACTGCGTTCGGCGCAACTCCCTCCCTTACCCTTTTTTTTTTTTGCCTCGGACTCTTCATTCTTCTCCTTTATGTCTAAATTTCCAGAGCCTTTACTTACTCAAGTTTGTAACATAATTCTTAACATCAGTCAAACAGATTGCAGTCAAACAGATTGTATGGCAAGTGTCAGCACAGGAGGAGACCACAGAAATCTCTGAATCTGACCATTGGTTTTATAGTGAGAAAATTAATGGGCTGAAAGGTTCAGTGACTTGGCCAAGGTCACACACTGCGTCAGTGTCAAGGGTCACACACCTGGTGGGACTCTCCTTGGGCCCCTCTCCAGGTCATTCTTTGCATGCAGTTGCCTAATCCCTAAGGCAAGTCTTGGCCTGGCTGTCAGACACCGTGAGAAATGCCGAAGAAATATTAAGAGCCGTCCCTACTCTTGCGCTGATTAAAGTCTCGTGTTAGTCCAGGTCCTCCTGAGAACCAGATGCCCAGACAGGATTAGACATGCAAGAGATGTACTGAGGAAAATACGAACCACAACACAGCTCCCACCCCTTGGGGAAGGAGCAGGATGCGGAGAAGGAAGGATGAGGGACAGAGGAAGAGGAGGGTAGAGAGACAGGGAGAATAGGAAGGAGGCGGGAAGGAAGGTCTTAGATGCAGCGTATGCTTATGAAAGTTTCAGCAAGGCCAGCGGAGAGTCCTTGCCTCAGGATCGCTATTGCTGAGCCGCTGGCTGGGACCAGCCATGGGCAGCATGACCTCGGTGCAAACACAGGACAACCTCGGAGCACAGCCACCAGGGCGGTCCCTTGATTCCATGCCCTGCAGTTAGGAGATCAAGAGGCTCCTTTTCAGGGCCTCCAGTCTTTCTGGGTGGCAAAGATATGATCAATTGAAAATGTATTTCCTTCAACTTTTCAAAGATCCTGTCCCCTGGGCCCCACACCTCCCCCCGGCAGCGTCCTCCTCCCCAAACTGCGTCATGCCCTCTCCTTCCCTGCATAGAGACTCTGCGTGGGGGTCTTCCCTTGTGGGCAGGACTTCTCTTGAGCTGATCACTGAGCACCCCATCCTCCAGGCCCTGCTTCCTTCCCAAACCAGACTCAGCATCATCTCCTGAAAAAAGTCCTCCTCACTTCTGGGAAAGACTCCTCACTTCTGGGAAAGATCTCATCACCAAGACTCAGAACTTCCTTCCTTAACTCCGCCCTGCCCGCTCCTTTCTCATTTCATCGCCTCTGACGTGTAAGCATCGGTCTATACTCTGTGTCCCTCCCAACCACTTTCTCCCTCCAGTTCCTTGGCATCGCCCTAGTTCAGGCCCTCCTGGTCTTATGTCACAGCATCCTTAACTACACATCTAGCCTTTGGCTTCTCCTGTTTGTCTCCCATTGTGATTTGCAGAATCGGTAGGCCACGCCCTGCACCCCCTCAAAATGTGCACCCTTTCAGATTGCTTTTCGACACCTGAGGACCAACTACCTTTTCATCTTGATCTCTGCAAAAGACCTTGTACTCCTGCCAAACTGACCAGTTTGCTTTTCCTTGATATAACTCTCTATGTTCTTGCTGTTCTTTTGCCTGGAAAGTCTCCCCTCTCACTTGCACTTGTAAGATCTCACTAGTTTTGAGTCTCTAATGTCACCCCCAATATTCTCTGAGCCTCCTTTTCACTCATGCCTCCAGCAAGAATTTGCCCACATTTGTATTCTGGGAGCGCTGTTTCCTCTCCTCTGATGGACTTAACAATCAGCCGTATAATATCCTGTACTCCCTCTATTCACAGGAACCTCCCTGAGGATAGGGGCCATGCTTGACATGCCACATCCCAACTACACACCCACTCATCTCTGTACCGCATGCTCAGCCTTCCCAGCTGTGATCACAGGTGAACCACCCATGCTCCCATCTGAAGGCTCACCTCTCCACTTGTGCGATGGATGCCAGTCTTGCTTGCCTGTATAAGGATTTAACTCAGCAGTTCTCACTTCTCAATACATGACCTTTCCTGTCTACTGGACGATTCCCACCAGCTCTCAGACACATTGTTTCACCTATCTTTAAAAATATATATATATTTACTTTGTTTATTTGGCTGTGCAGGATCTTGGCTGCAGCATGTGAACTCTTAGCTGTGGCGTGTGTGATCTAGTTCCCTAGCCAGGGATCAAGCCCAGGCCCCCTGAATTGGGAGCACAGGGTCTTAGCCACCGGACCACCAGGGAAGCCCCTCACCTATCTTTTAAGAAACAAAGCACTCTTCTACTCTCCCAAATTTCCCAGCCTGCTGGCTGCCCATTTCTTCCCTCAGATGAGCAGGAACAGTCGCCAGAGGAGGCGTCTGTGGTGGCTACTTCTAATTCCTCTCATTCTGTCACTCAGAGAAACTGCAGAGTTACCTGTGACTTCCTCCTGGACGAACCCAGGGCTCAGTCCTCAGGGCCTTGTCACACCCACTGCACCCAGGGCTCAGTCCTCAGGGCCTGTCACACCCACTGCACCCAGGGCTCAGTCCTCAGGGCCTGTCACACCCACTGCACCCAGGGCTCAGTCCTCGGGGCCTGTCACACCCACTGCACCCAGGGCTCAGTCCTCGGGGCCTTGTCACACCCACTGCACCCAGGGCTCAGTCCTCAGGGCCTTGTCACACCCACTGCACCCAGGGCTCAGTCCTCGGGGCCTGTCACACCCACTGCACCCAGGGCTCAGTCCTCAGGGCCTGTCACACCCACTGCACCCAGGGCTCAGTCCTCAGGGCCTTGTCACACCCACTGCACGCAGGGCTCAGTCCTCGGGGCCTATCACACCCACTGCACCCAGGGCTCAGTCCTCGGGGCCTGTCACACCCACTGCACCCAGGGCTCAGTCCTCAGGGCCTTGTCACACCCACTGCACGCAGGGCTCAGTCCTCGGGGCCTGTCACACCCACTGCACCCAGGGCTCAGTCCTCGGGGCCTGTCACACCCACTGCACCCAGGGCTCAGTCCTCGGGGCCTTGTCACACCCACTGCACCCAGGGCTCAGTCCTCGGGGCCTTGTCACACCCACTGCACCCAGGGCTCAGTCCTCAGGGCCTGTCACACCCACTGCACCCAGGGCTCAGTCCTCGGGGCCTGTCACACCCACTGCACCCAGGGCTCAGTCCTCGGGGCCTGTCACACCCACTGCACCCAGGGCTCAGTCCTCAGGGCCTTGTCACACCCACTGCACGCAGGGCTCAGTCCTCAGGGCCTTGTCACACCCACTGCACCCAGGGCTCAGTCCTCGGGGCCTTGTCACACCCACTGCACGCAGGGCTCAGTCCTCAGGGCCTATCACACCCACTGCACCCAGGGCTCAGTCCTCGGGGCCTGTCACACCCACTGCACCCAGGGCTCAGTCCTCGGGGCCTGTCACACCCACTGCACCCAGGGCTCAGTCCTCGGGGCCTTGTCACACCCACTGCACCCAGGGCTCAGTCCTCGGGGCCTTGTCACACCCACTGCACCCAGGGCTCAGTCCTCGGGGCCTGTCACACCCACTGCACCCAGGGCTCAGTCCTCGGGGCCTTGTCACACCCACTGCACCCAGGGCTCAGTCCTCAGGGCCTGTCACACCCACTGCACCCAGGGCTCAGTCCTCGGGGCCTATCACACCCACTGCACCCAGGGCTCAGTCCTCGGGGCCTGTCACACCCACTGCACCCAGGGCTCAGTCCTCAGGGCCTTGTCACACCCACTGCATGCAGGGCTCAGTCCTCAGGGCCTTGTCACACCCACTGCACCCAGGGCTCAGTCCTCGGGGCCTTGTCACACCCACTGCACGCAGGGCTCAGTCCTCAGGGCCTATCACACCCACTGCACCCAGGGCTCAGTCCTCGGGGCCTGTCACACCCACTGCACCCAGGGCTCAGTCCTCGGGGCCTGTCACACCCACTGCACCCAGGGCTCAGTCCTCGGGGCCTATCACACCCACTGCACCCAGGGCTCAGTCCTCGGGGCCTGTCACACCCACTGCACACGCCCTCTTGACACATCTTCTCTCAGAGATCTTACTCCCTGGGTTTTCCTCCTTGCTCCCGGACTGCCTTTCTTTGGTTGGTTTGCCGTTCCTCCTGTTTTCCTCCTGTTTTCCCCAGACCCTGTCTGTGGAGAGCTTCAGGGCTGCAGCCTTGGTCTTGATCTTCTCTTCTCTGTCTGCACTCCCTCGGAAACATCACCTACCTCCTAGATTTAAACACTCCATCACCAGCGCTCTCTTTTCTCTCCCCATCCCAAACATCTCTCCAATATCCACACTTGTATTTCCAGCTGCCTTCCTGATGTCAACATTCGGGTGTCTCATAGCTATCTGAAGCTTAATGTTTCTAAAAATGAATGACTATCCACTTTTCCCTTACCTATTCCATGCCCTCCCCCCACCCAAAAAACATACCATTCCAAGCTACAGACTTCTCAGTCTCAGCTGGCAACAACTCTGTCCTGATGCTCACTCAGGCTAAGAGCCCGGGGTCATTCTTGACTACTTTCGTTCTCTCACAGCTCACATCCAATCCATCCTCTTGGCTCTATCTTTAGCATATATCCAGAGTCTGCTCACCTCTACCCACCTCTCAGCTCCACACTCACCTCTCACCTGGATTTCTGCAATAACTTCCTACCAGATCTCCCTGTTACACCCAAATCGTGAATAACAGCCAGACTGAACTTTTTAAGCCGTTGAGTCCTATCATATTAGTCCTTTGCTCAAAAACCCTTCAATGGTTTCTCTTTCCAGTCCATGAAAAACCGCAAGTCCTTCCAAGGCCTTACATGACCTGACTGCTTATTTCCTCTCTGCCCGCCTCTCTCCATTCTCTTCCCTGCCCACTCTCTGACCACAGCGGCTCTCTGTTCCTCGGACAAGTCAGGCGTTCTCTTCGTCCCCATGCCTGGCATCCCCTCGGCCCGCGCCCGCCCCTGCTGCCTTCCAGTCCTGCTTGGCTCAGGTATCAGCTAACCATCCTATTTCATGCTGCTGCCTGTCTACTCACCCTGCCCCTGCACTCCTGATTCCCATTACCTTGCTGTAATTTCCATTTTTTCCACAATGCTTTCACCTTCAAACTCACTATATAAACGAACATATATTATATGTATAGTTTATTGTCTGTCTCTCACCTATAACTGGTCTTCCCAGGTGGTGCTAGAGGTAAAGAACCCACCTGCCAATGCAGGAGACATTGGGTTCAACTCCTGGGTCAGGAAGATCCTCTGGAGGAGGACATGGCAACCTACTCCAGTATTCTTGCCTGGAGAATCTCATAAACAGAGGAGCCTGGTGGGCTATGGTGCATAGGGTTGCAAAGAGTCAGACACAGCTGAGCAACTTAGCATGCGCGCTCACCTATAACTGTGTCTGGCAACCTGTAGTTTCTCAGTTAATGGTTATGGGGTGAACATAAGAATCTTTGCTTCCTCCACAGTGCATAGCACATTATACATGGTAGACGCTGACATTTTAACAAATGGAAAAAAGATAAAGTGCTTAATGTTATGGCTTTATGCTCTAGGAAGCTTTGGTTCTATGGGTCCCTTCCCCCCTTGATCCCAGATGAAAGCATGTTGGCATCAGTAATAGTATGAATACAACTGTATCTTTAATCAATTTTTGAGTAATTCAGATGGAAATTATAGGGAAATTACTGAATCACTGGCCACATGTACCATGACCTTTATTTTCAGCCTGCCTTGGGTCCCAGCTCCCATCTTTCATACTCATCCTCTTAAAGGTCCTTAGGGCGAGGCCAAATTTGCATAGCATAAGAGAATCAGTACTTGGGTTGTAAGTGATGTGTATATAAAGTCCACGGGGAAGTTTTATATCTGTGTTCTTTTGTTAGAGGTCAAAATTCTAGCTGTCTACAATTGTGTCCTTTCTTGCCTTCCTCAACTCACCATGCTATTACCGCCCAAAAGTAAAGTTAGTGCTGCTTTTTTTTTTTCATCCTTAAAACATTAGACATTTATTCTCTCATAATTCTAGAAATCAGAAGTCTGAAATCAAGGTGTCAGCAGGATTGGTTTCTTCTTAGGGGCTCGGTATGCTTTTTTGAAGAAAAAAATCCAAAAGATAAAACGTTAAAAGGCTTCAACTTCCCATCTGTCTGTGTCCTTTGAAATCCTAAAGGCAAATAAGTGTTACCAGCTGCTGACCATTTCTTTCAGACAGAGTCTTTCTCATAAAAATCTAACCTAACTGTTCAGGGCAACCACGGGGCCTTCCCCTCACCAGTTCACACACATTACACATGCTAGATGACAAATCCATGCAAGGCTCTCGGCCTTGAACTAGGAATCCGGCACTAAAGGAAAGAAATGCCATACAGTGCATTTGCCTCCAGGACTAATCAAAAAGATGACAATCAAGGAGGCCTTGTAAAATCTTGGACAAAGGATCACTGAAAAAATTTATTAAAAACACTCCTGTCTCTAAAGTGTGATGTTCATTGTTTATTTTGTCATGTTTATATGAACATATAACTTTGGGTAAGCAGAATTCTCTTCTTGGCTCCCAAGAAAATGTATGGCAAGTTCCATTCCATGGACTTCCTATTTTCTGTAGTTATGGGTCATCAGTGGAGGTTACGTCTCTGTGTGAGGAAACGTAATCCATCATTCCCACTGCGCCTGGCTTGTTTGCCTTCTTCCATGCTCTCCGTTTATGATGTTGCAAACTGCCTGTTTGTCAGGACCCGGCATCTCCCCTTCTCGGTGTCCCAGAGACTTTTCTCTTACCAGGGACTAAGCTCTTCAGGCTTTGTGGTTTTCTGTCACTAGCCACACTTACTATGACCTTGCTTTTCAGCCTGCCCTGGGTCCCAGATCCCATCTCCCATACTCATCCTCTTAAAGGTCCTTAGGGCAAGGGCAAATTTGCGTAGCACAAGAGAATCAGTTGGCTCAGGGAATTGTAAGGGAATACTTTTGTATTTCTAGCACTGAATATAGCACCTAACATTTAGGAGTCACTTAATAAAAACTTAGACCTTCATAGTTTTAGATGCACGCCTTTATTATTTTGGAGATAGGTAGTATATTATTTGGGGCTTTTCTGGTGGCTCAGATGGTAAAGACTCTGCCTGCAAAGCAAGAGAACCAGGTTTGACTTCTGGGTCAAGAAGATCCCCTGAAGAAGGGAATGGCTACCCACTCCAGTATTCTTGCCTGGAGAATTCCACGGACAGAGGAGCCTGGAGGGCTATAGTATATTAAGTAGCTACACCGGACATTTACATTTGCATCATATGTGCTGTTAGTAAAATCGGTATCAAGCCCTCCTAGAGAAGCCTTAGGGCCCTGGTATGTCAACACAAAGGTAGAAGCGTGATGGTAGCTTGTAAGTGGGCAGTCTCGTGGCAGCATCCATGAAAACACATATCTCTCATGGCACCAAGACTACCTATTGCTAAGATGAAAATCATCTTTCTTCTAGATTAGTGAACTATTCCATCTTTTTGTCCATAACAAATGGATCACCATTTCTTGATCAAGTGTTACATGCCATGGGTCTGTGTTAGATCCTAAGATGAAAGGACAACGCTGGAGCCGAGTTTATGTCTCTGGACAGTGGGCACAGCCCTGAAACCGGGTTTATGGACTGTGGGCACAGCGCTGGAGCTGGGTTTTGTCTCTGGACAGCGGGCACATGCACCTAAATATGCTTAGTGGCTCCAATTTTAAATTATGTTTCATGGATTTGCTTTGAAACTATGTGAACTTGATGCTTACCACAACCCCTAGGCAAAGCATCTTTCTTAGTGTTTTGGGAAAATATTTGAAGAATCAAATTTAATGTATTGAGAATACAAAGCCTAGTTATAAATGTCTCTTTCAAGGCAGGAATGTAGTAACCCTTACATAAACATTAAAAATAAGTTATTTACTCATTTTAATAATTATGTATATACTATATACTAGGATTTTCCAACACTGATTTTTAAAAACAATTTCTTGGATTTCTATTTGAAATAAGGAAGCTTTCAGTTCCCAATTAATATTTTTGGTACTACTTATATTTAACAAATCCCATCCATGTTTATTAATATTTCCATTTATTTTTCTTTCTTCTTACATCTTGATGTTCTCCTCCACAGGGTAATGTTTATCTGTACTATAAATTGTATGGCTTCTATCAGAACCTCTATCGGTATATTCTGTCCAGAAGTAATATCCAGCTGGTGGGTACGGATGTAAAGGTAGGGCTTTATTAAATTTGGTATAATACTCTGTTTTTTTTTTAAACCAGATAGATCTTTCAGTCTAAAAAAGCGTATGGAAAATAAACTCAAAAGTTAAGGTTTTACAAGACAGAAATGCTCATTTCATTCTTTTGTGAACTGAAGGGGCTGAGTATTCAGGATAACTGCTGTTGAGAATGAGCCCTTTCCCTCCTCAGAACAGGAATGTGAGTCTTCTCCAATGAGATGGTTATCCTTTCATGCGTCGCCCATTTTTTAGTTTAACAACATCTTATATTAAAGCCAGATACATACTGGACTGTCCAAGTCTTGGTGATAATGAATGTGTCAGAAGGGCAAATCTGCAAGTACCTTTTCAACCACAATTCAGGATTTGTTTCTGTTAATAAGTTGATGGCATATTGGAGCTGCTTCAAACAGCAGAGTGCTTGCTTCTTTGAATGACTGACATATCAAATAGATTTCAGTATTATTTTTGCACACTTGATTTCTGTAGTTTTCTTTAAACTTCCCCATTTTAGTAGATGGAGGCACCAACCATTTTGACAGTAACCTTGAGTGGTTCATCTCTGTCTGGTTCACTCTGTATTCACCACTGTCTTTTTTTATAACTGGGGCCTTCAGGCAGCCTAGTTTAAGGAAACTGGGCTCTACTTGATTGAATAAAAGCCTTTGGTTTACTGAATATCCTTTCAGACCTAAGATTACAAAACTTTAGGTAGATGATATTCAACATACTGACAAGAAAAGCTAAAGGAAACCTTTTCTATACTGACACTATATAAAAGGGATAACCAAATGGTTTTTAGCAGCCATTCTTTTTAAAATATATTCTGGTAGTTAGGTAGATGGATTTCCCTGTGGTCATCTAGCTGTAGACCCACAATTTGTATAGTTTTTAGAATATATTATACTCCAATAAGAAAAACTTCTTAAAATGTATTCCAATGTAGGCTTAGCGTGATATTTAGCACAGCCGGAAAGTAAAATTTCTTCCTGCAGACATATTCAGTATGCTATGTACTGTTAATGAGGAAAGAAACTACACACATGTGTATACACACATAAATATCTTCAAAACACAAACGTTTTCTAGTCTGGGTGAGCCAGCAGCCTGGGAACAACAGGTCCACAGCCTCAGTCTATGCCAATGGATCAGTGTGGGTTGGCTTACACTGCCAGTGTTTTCACTTCTAGCACTTTAAGAGTTTACCAAAATCACGTATTCCTGCGTCATTCTTCCTCCAGGATGTTAGAAACTGTGCTCCGTTCAAAACCTCTGACAAAGGGCTCCCCATTGCTCCGTGCGGTGCAATTGCCAACAGCCTGTTCAACGGTAGGTGACTTTTCCTGTCTCCAGCATGTTTCCTTTCGTGAGTGTGTAAAACCTAACGTCCAGAAGATTACTCCTGCAGCTGAGTGGCAGGTTTTTGTTTTTTTTTTTAATGTTTGTATACATTATCCACTGATTTATGATACTTCATTGGCAAGTAAGTTCTTCACCGGAGATTTGAAGTAGTCAGGAAACATTATTTAAATGGAGCCTAAGAGTATCTCTCAGTAATCGGGGCCTTAGAAAGAAAAGGAATCGTCTTCTCCGCAGGCATGCGGAGAGTCTGCTCAAACCCCGCCTTTTCAGCTGTGTCTGGCTATGCACTTCCAAGTGTGGCAAAACGCTTGCCTCAATCTCTTACACTGTCTTTAATTTCCCCACAGACACCTTCGTTCTTCTGTACAACTCTGATTCATCTACACAGATCGAAGTCCCAATGATGAGGACTGCGACTGCATGGTGGACAGACAAGTACGTCAAGTTTCAGAACCCAACTTACCAAAATCTTTCTCATGCATTTGAAGGTAAGATCCGTACGATAGCTCAGTACTCCCCTCTCGCTATGGAAACTTTGGTTTTGGTGTGTGGGGGGATGTTTATGATTCCTCCTTCTTTACTTCTTTTTAGATCGCCTTTGTTTCCAACTTTTCCTGCCTGTGAGCACCTCCATCACATACCTATCAGAAACACAAAATGATTGGTACCCTGGTTCCTTCTATATTGCCATCAGGAAGAAGGCAATGGTTTAAGAAACTTGTTCCTTCATCTATAATTAGAGAGATCATATAATTTACTGTCCAAACTAGTGCACTCTTGAGAGTCAAAGGGGTCACAGGAATAACTAAAATTACATATTTATTAGAAAGTGGTGTTTATTGATCAACAAGTTGATACTACCATATTGATGGGCCAATAAAGTGATTCTATTATAAATTATTTCTAAAATGCAATTCTTTCAAAAGTTAAAAGAATATATCTGTGCACATTAAACCAACTTTAAAAATGCTTTAAATATTACCTAAATAAAAAAAATACTACCTAAATGCTAAACGATAACAGAATAATTATTCTGGATATGGAGTCACATACTTTAATCAGTTTCTTGGCCATATAAGTCTTAATTACATGCCCCTGTATTTTTCTAATGAAAAATTTGAATTTTTGTGGGGAAAAAAATTCAAAAAATTATCTACAATCTTTTTCTTTTTTTTTCCCAAATGGCCCCACTTGAGGCTCTTTGGGTTTGTTTTCATAATCATTAGTCATGCTAGAATCACAAGGAGTGTCTGTTCCAGCTTTGCTCTGACTCCACAGTGGGGCAGGGGGTAGCTACAGGGCCCAGGTGGTTTGTGTGGCCTCTGGGGGTGGCTAGACCTGAGGGGTTAGAGGTCGGTAGGTTAGCAAAGCCCCAGGAATCCCTCACATAGCAGCCTTTCCCCGTAGTAGCTTGTGTCTAGAGATCTCCTCCTCCTCCATTTTCCTTTCCTTCCCAAGTCTTCCCATTTCCCTGCCTGTGGCTCCTTGAACCTTTCACTTCTGCTTCTTACGGTTCTAGGCTAGATGATGAAGGGAGCTTTTCCTTGTCCTTCATCAGGCATTAACATGGAAGCAGCTATTTAGGTCTGCATAGGGGAAAGAGCGGAGAAGGAAACGGCAACCCACTCCAGTGTCCTTGCCTGCAGAATCCCAGGGACGGGGGAGCCTGGTGGGCTGCCGTCTATGGGGTCGCACGGAGTCGGACACGACTGAAGCGACTTAGCAGCAGCAGCAGGAGGGGAAACAGAGACTCCGGGTCCCACTGTGGCTTAGTTCACAGGGGGACTAAGGGACGTGAAGGGGAAAGAATGCCATCTGCAATGAGAATGTTGCAACTAGCGGGACAGCGCACATGCCCCACCCTCAAACACCCTGCTCTGAAGGCTTTTCCCTCCCTCCCACATTGCCAAGGGTCCCTCTCTCAACCCCAAAACCTCTTGCTCTTCAGCCTCAAAGGGCAGGCAGAGGCACCGTGCGTAGGAGCTACATCTCCAGGAGAAAACGGCCCATCCTGAGACAAGGGAACGCCTGTGGAGTTCATCTTCCCCGCGTTTCTTGCGGGCTCTCCTGGTGTTTCGGTGATAAAGAATCCTCCAGCCGGTGCAGGAGGCTCAGGAGATGCGTGATGGACCCTGGGCCAGAAAGATCCCCCGGGGGAGGAAATGGCAACCTTCGCCAATATTCTTGCCTTGCAGAGTCCCACGGACGGAGGAGCCCCACAGTCCGTGGGGTCGCAGAGAGTCCCGGGACTGAGCGAGTGAGCGCGCGCGCGCACACACACACGTCCCACACACACGTTCCTTGTGCCTCTGCAGCTAGGGGGCCAGAGGTGGCTTGACGGGGCAGAGAAAATAATGTCTAAGGGTTGAACATGCCTCACCCAGCGGCTGGAGGGACCAAGAGACACAGATTCCCGGGAGTCAGAGCCGTGGAGGGGCAGAGAAGGGAGCAGAGGGAGGGGTAAGGCTGGTTATCTGGGAGCTGGGATCCTCTTGCCTTTTCTGCAATGGCCAGAGCGTGCCCTCAGGTTCTCAACAGCGAGGCAAACCTTCGTTTCTGGTGCCGCAGATCAGGGTCAGACCTCTCCTCCTCCTCAGCCTCTGGGCATCACCAGCTCTCCCCCTTTCCTCTGGACCAGGTGCCTGGTTGGTGCTGAGGATTTTTTTTGCTGTTAAGCTCGCTCGCGGGTGCGGCACGTGCAGGGGGACCGGGCTGCCCCAGCGAGGGCCTCCGAGGCTGGGTCGCCGCTGAGGAGGCAGGAGAATGAGCGCGAGAGCCGCCGCGCCACTGCGCGCACCCGGCTCCAGGCGCGCGGGTCCCTCCCGCGGTCCTCTTCCGACCCTGTCCTGTCTGAGCCAGTCTTTTTTGAAGCGCATTTTATGGTTAATCACTCAACTGTAGCACGTCTAGTTGATCCTTCTCCTTTGACCATTTTTTTTTTAAAGAAAATATCTATAGGTATTGAGATATCTATTACGCTCACAGTCATTTTACTAAATGGAGGATATTCTCATTTCCAATTCTTTTGTATTAGAATATGCTAGTATTGCAACCCAAATGTTTTTATAGGCAAGGTCTTTTTTTTTAACTTCACTTTTTTTCTATGATTTTTTAAATGTTTTACTAGTTTTAGATGGTATGAAATCTTAGACTTTCTGGGTATCATTTAAGTCTCATCGAGAAGAAAATTTGATCTTATTAAAATAGGAGCTCCATCAAAATATTTTTCACGGAAGTTGAGATTTTCCAAAGCCCAATTATAGAATTTAAAAATTAAATCTTGTACACATTTTGAACTATCACTATATGATATCATTATATAATATGTTAAATTGTTCCCTTGCTTTCATAGGGGTAAATTTCAGTACCTTCTTGTTTGCAAACTTGATTTTTGATAATTACAATTAACTATACCTTCAAAAACTAAGATTTCTGGCATTCCACATTTAGAATACTTTGTCTAAAACTTTTCAGCTATTTTGAATAAAATTTCACCAAAAGTTGGAGGGCTCCTTTACCAAGAAAAAGTGCAGGCTAATTGTAGGACTCATCGTTTGATATAGAAAATAGCTCTTTGAAGGCTCAAAGATTTCTAAAATTTTGATTGATGATGTGTAGCAAAGATAGACCACAAGTACTACCATGCTGAACCATTTCTTTAACATCTTTGTCATTGTAAAACCTTCACAGTTCATTTTCTCTGTGAATATATTAAAATATTTAAATTTGCATAATTACAGCTCTCTTGATTAACAAAATATTGTAGCTTGTTTGGATATAGTTATTATTTATGTTTCACAACCAATTTTAAGCCCCATCTGTATAAATTTCTTAATTTACTAAGAACATTTTATTTATTCTGCTTGTACGCTACCAAATTTGCATTTATAGTATCACTGTAAAACCAAAAAATTTACACCTGATTGTTGAATATTTTAACTGAATTTATAGTAATATTTATAACTGTGTCAGAAGTTTTGTCTTCCAGTATTGAATATTGAAAATTTTTGCTTTGATTCCGTGAAAAATCAAATCAATAAAATCAAACCAACGTATTCAGAGATGAATACATCTGAAAAGACTGATGTAAAACTGGCTTCATTTAACCATTTACAAGGTTCTTTATGTGATTACAAAGCCCAAAACATTAAAACTTTTCTTTGATTACAAAAAAAATTTTTTTAATGACTCTAGACAGAAACTTATTTGATCTAAATGAAAAGTCATGTTCACATAATGGTATATAAATGAGCTTTCTGTAGCTGCATGAGGCAAAGCACTGTTTTGAATATACTCTTTTAAAAATAAGTGCAAACTTTTGAAGTAGATTCTGATATTCTTCAGCAGATTTATATCTTTTGATTTTCATGTGATCATTGACATCATGATGGTTCCTGTGGTGGGGAGTAAATGTCAACCAACATTGCAAGTATCACATTCATCTACTTCCTTGAAAAAATTGTACTTAATTTTTCATTGAACATGTGTGTTCTTTTTTTTAGCTCTTCGTGGCTAAAAGAATTTACTAGCAAATAAAAAAAAATGGATACTGAACAATAAAATAGTTATATTTTTACACCATATAATAAATAATGCTGTTGCAAGAGAGTCCCAGCTACTCTCAGCAAGACTGCTCAGGATCTGTTTTTCACGCTATTCTCACGCTGTATGTTTTTTTCACACTATGTATTTTCACACTATCTGTATTTCACGCTATGTCCGTGTAACATAAACTGCAACATCCCACTTTTTTCTACTAAGCCCAGTGACTTGCAGCCTGGCAGCTCCATATTAATACATCACACAGATCAGAGCAGAGGCTCTGGTCTAACTGGCTGTCCTGCCAAACAGTGGCAAGGGTCATGGGGATACGTTATGTTTTGCTATGAAAAGCCTCTGGTTATCTTCCATCAGTAACATGTTAAAGGAAGCACTCTTGTTCACCATACATAGGTATCTCTCACTACTAGCTAAGACCATGACTAGAATAGGAAGGATGGAATTATACTTACATTATTTGCTTGGGATAAACGCTAAATCAGATGAGCTAATGGACAACAAACATGAGCTGGGACTGTCCTAGGCAAACTGGCAGGTATGGTCACTGTATCTGTAATTAAACCCCTAGAGAGGAACTTGGCAACATGCTATTGTTTTGTCTCACCATAACCACAGCCAGGTAACATACAGCATCCTTGGCTGTCTCCCACCACACTTTGTTCTCAACTTCTGTTATAGGAGTCACTGTGCTTTACTGTAATTATCCGTCTGAATGCTTGTCATCCCCACTTGGTGTGTTAATTCCTTGAGGAAAAGGATTAGATCTCATACAGTTCTATATCCCTGGTGCTTGATACAAGTCAGCAATCAAGCAATGCTTATTATGGAGTGAATGGAGGGATACCAAGGACCCAGCTGAACTTGGAAAAGGAAAAGAAATTGGTTCTCCCTCTACTATGCTTCTCATACTCTCTGGAGACATGGGACAGGGTGGGATTGGAGGTCGGTAAGGAAAGGCAGGTTTGAACCTGCATTTTTCACTCTGTTGGTGATTTGGATGTCATTGGTCCACAGGACACGTTGTCTTGGAGCATTAGCTCTGGCTAAGTAAAGAGGGTGTGTGGTCCATGTGCAGGCCTGCCTGCTAAGTCCCTTCAGTCACGTCTGACCCTGCAGCCCCATAGACTGTAGCCCGCCAGGCTCCGCTGGCCATGGGGATTCTCCAGGCAGGAATACTGGAGTGGGTTGCCATGCTTCCTCCAAGAAATCTTCCAGACTCAGGGATTAAACCCACATATCCTGCCTCTCCTGCATTGCAGGTGGATTCTTGACCATTGAGCTACCAGAGAAGCTCATCCACATGCGGGCACCAAAGACAATTTCAGTGTCAAGCAAAATTCTTCTACCAACAACCATTGAGGTCTTCGGGAGAGCCAACATCTCCACAGTTTTTGGAGAGGAAGTTTCTCCAGCAAAGGGTTATTTCCAGAGGAAGTATAAGTCTACAAACAGACTGCAGCAGATTAATCCAACCAAATTTAGCACATGCCTTTATAAGCACTACAGCCCATGCTTAGAAATAAGACTTGTGTTTCTTTTAAGAGAAAATAGTCAGTGGTCAGAGTTAAGAAAGAATGGTTTCTTACAAATAGTAGAACCATTTTTATAGAAGTGAAAGGCTCACTGAACAACTTCTTGTTGACTACTTCAAAATTCAGACTGCTTTTTAATTATCGACTTCTGTCAACTTTCATCGTAATTGCTCATCCCTTTATCAGGCATTTATTGAACACCTACTATGTGCCAGGGACTGGACTAAATGCCAATGAACAACAATGAGGAAGACATTGAACTCAAGAGTCTACTGTCCAGTGGGAGAGAGACATGGCCACCGCTGTAAAGCGGGAAGTAGACGATGAGTGTAAACTTAACAGACTGGACTCAAGGCGCCAGCCCTCCACCCTGAGCGCCCGCTCCCGACACTGGCTTCAGAACAGGCTTGCCACACCTCTGCTCTCCACCTCCTTCCTTCTACTGATTCCTCTTCCTTGCTTCCAACTTCGCTCTCTTAGGTGCAGGTCTGCAGGGAATACCTGTGTAACACAATCTTCATGCACTTCCCATGGTCATTTCCTTAGAATATAGTCCTAGAAGTAGAATTCCTGGGCTAAAATATATGCAAAATACACTTAATCTTTTGCTGCTTCTTCCGAAATTACCAAAGATGTCGTTAATCCATGCATCTGTCTGCTCTGTACAAGAATTCCCATTTCCACTGCCTCATGAGTGGTTATCATTCTTTTTTTCATTAAATATTAGCCCATTTTGAGGTGAAATGGTATCTTGTTTTAATTTGTTCTCTACATTACCAATGAAGTTAAAGAAAATGTACATTACCCATGATGCTCTCATTGAGTATCAAGCACCATGATTATCATTTTGCTGTACCTATTTTTTCAATGTGCTATTATACAGTTAATATAGTTGAACATGGGCTTCCCTGGTGGTTCAGATGGTGAAGAATCCACCCTCAGTACAGGAAACCTGGGTTCAATCCCTGGGTTGGGAAGATCTCCTGGAGGAAGGTATGGCAACCCACTCCAGTATTCCTGCCTGGAGAATCCCCATGGCCAGAGGAGCCTGGCGGGCTACAGTCCATGGGATTGCAAAGAGTCGGGCACAACTGAGTGACTAAACACGGCACAGCACATAGTTGGGTATATAATACACATACAACATGATATTCTGCTTTTTTTAACCCCATAACAGTATCAGCATTCCCCGCCCCGGACATTTCCTTAGAGTCTTTATAAGTATTATCTTTTAAAAATTTTATTATTTTATTTATATAGTTGTTTATTTTTGACTGCACTGAGTCAAAACTCTTCATTGCTGCCAGCGGGCTTCTCTCTAGTTGTATCAAGCAGGACCTGCTCTCTAGATGCAGGGCACAAGCTTTTCATCGCAGCGGCTTCTGTTGTTGCAGAGCAAGGCTCTAGAGCAGGAGGGCTTCCGTAGTTGTGGCACATGGGTTTAGTTGCTCCCTGGCATGTGGGATCGTCCCAGATCAGGGACACAACCTGTGTCTCCTGCTCTGACAGGCAGATTCTTTATTCCTGGGCCAACAGGGAAGCCCTATAATCGTTGTCTTTAAAGGCTGCATATTCATGTAGCTTACACACACATACTTTAAAAAAAAGTGTAATTTCAATTCCTCAAGAATATGAAAGTTGTTTCATTCTCTACATGCTAAGAAAAACTGAAGGCGGTAGATGATTTTTCTCAACCACATCCATTGTTAACTTCCCATAGGAACTGCAAAGCCTCCGAACTGGCCTAAGCCTGTCTATGAACTAGATGAAGAGGACCCAAGGAACAACGGCTTCATCAATGATGACTTCATCGTGTGGATGCGGACAGCCGCCTTTCCCACTTTCAAGAAACTGCACCGCCGACTCCATCGAATAGACAATTTTACCGAAGGCTTACCTGCTGGTAGCTATAGTTTCATCATAAACTACAGTATCCTTTTATTCCAGGACAGAAGGAAAATCAGTGTCCACCTGCATACTAGTTATTGAACTATTTCATTCTATACGTCTCTATTCTCCAATCAAATCTATATACACTGTAAAAGAAATACATATTTATCTTATAGACAATACTGTCACTCCATCACCACATAGCTATTTGTCTCTACTTTATATATAATCAAATGTGCACTTTTTTAAGGAGTAACAGTAGCAACTTTAGGTAAGCAGGTATGGGTAAGTGAGGAAGGACTGTTTCTTCTCCAGGAGGAAAATTGAGTAACAGTGGGCCTAGAGATCTAAAACAGTGAGGAGAAAAGCCTGTTATATAGGATGGGATGACATGGAGGACCCTGGAAATAAAGATAGAGAGGATTACGAAGAAGTGGATTTGAATATGGACTCAAAGCAGTGAAAACTGGGACTGATGGTAGAGCCTTTGATTTTAGGTGGAAGTCTCAGGGGCCAAGGCAGCAGCTCTGGACTCAGGGAGCAGCTTGGGTCCCTCCAGCCCACGTGAGCTGCACCACCAGCTCTGCGCTGAGGAGGCCTTGTTCTTCCTCTTCTGGTCCGACGCCAGCTAGCAGGCGCCAAGGCCTCGGTTGTGGACATGTGGCCCACATTCAGAGACATTCTTGAATATGAGATTCTGAGTGTTCCCAGTTACTTTAAGAATATAAGTGTCACTCTTGACTTAAGAACAAAAAGTTCTTAACTTCAAAATGACACCAAACACTATCTTTAAATATATATATATATATATTTTAATATAATTTGTACTAACTCTGGTCTTCAGACTTAGTTTTCAAGTCCCTTCCTGATTCTCTCTGAGGCAGAATTTTCCCGGAGGCAGGTCTTTCCAGGACTTGCACACAGTTTTGAGACATCAGCCCATTAGGCATCAGCACCCCCGTGGCATCTCAGGGCCCCTGGAGTTTTTCACGGGACCCCCAGCAGGCTAGAGGATCTGAACACCCAACTCTCTACCTCTTCTGTTTCTTTACCACTTGAGGAGTTTGCCTGAAACATTCTTGGGTCGGTGAATGATGACATGTGCTCCAGTTCCCTGCTCCATCTTTTCTCCTTCTCTGTCGTAGAGCAGAGGTTTCCTCCCTGACACAGGAGTGGGATGTTCCTAGGGCAGAGATGCCTCCACTGAAGAGGCACCATCTCTGCCTCTCAGCGCATTGCTTCCTCTTGTCTGCTGGCCAGGGCTACGGTTTGCCCTCAGCTGTGCCTGTAGCATGGTTGCTAACGCTAGCCTGTGCAAAGGAAAGTTGGAAATGTCTCTCTGTGTGTACAGACCAGAGACCAGGCCACAGAACATTACCTTTGCAACAGGATTTCAGCACCCCTCTCGCGCTCCTAGAACATTTGAGATTGAGAGCTGCTCAACAGTAGTCTTTCAAGTTGGACCTTCAGTCCTCATCGGCTTTTTCTGTGATGACCCTACCAGTAAAGCAGTTAGGGGAGCGATCAAGACACAGGGGGGGAAAAGCCCATTGGGTACTGGTGCTCTCACAAGGCGCTGCAGTGAGTTTAAGGTTGATGGAAAGAGGGAGTCCACTTCCAAACAGAGGAGACACCATTTCTCGGCGTGAAACACGCTCTCCTGGGAGGTGTTTTTTCACAGTCATATTTTAATGCTGACAACTCTCCAACCTAAATCTTGAGCTCAGAACCTCAATCCTGAGCTTCAGCCCTATGCCTGTACCACCTACGTTGAACCCTAGTGTGAGTATTACCCGTCCAGCCTAACAGCCTGGCTAATGTGCAGAGAGCTAAGCCTGAGCTGCAGCTGGTTCTCCCACTGACCCCGTGTGAGGAAAAGACCCTCTTAACGAAACCGGGGGGTGGGGGGGGCGGTGGTAAGAATCAGAGGGCTCGTTGAGGACCTGCACCCAAGGAGCCTAGGAACCTGGGGACCATGAGGAATTTTGATGGAAAAGAAAGCAAGCTAGCTTTCCTAACTAGTTTCTTTGTGCCTTTAAATAGCATGTTGCCAAGTGATTTGAGGCCTTTTAAGAGCTTTGCTGGGAAATGCCGTTGCTATGAGAAGCCTTTATTTGTTTATTAGTTCGGTTTACAAAAAGCACCAGATGTTTAAAAACCTCAGGCCACATGCATAATCAAAATGACATAATTCAAATGCTAATGATAGCAAAGCCACTTCAAACACTTTCTCCCTAGCAGTGAGGGTTGCTGGCCCTTTCAAAACTTGAATATACCACCAAAAATGTTTTGCCATCTCTCTCACTACTTTTTTGTTCTTCACTCCTCTTGAAGAATTTTCCCTGAGGTACAAATTTAAACCTTAGCCTCTAAAGGACTTGAGCCTACCCTGGGTGTCCTGATCCACAAACACAAATTTAGGCTTGCTGCACAATCTATCTATAGGCTTTTCATTTCCTTGGGTTTGTAAAGTAACTGTATTTGTTCATATTATTGAGTTATCTGTAAGTCATTCAGACCCGTTTGTGTCCGTTTCTATCATAGATTACAACTATGTAGAGGGAAAGCTTGTTTTTACTTAGTTTCTTTCCAGCAAGATAAAACATACTGCTTGGTAAAGATTAGGCTAAATGAAGTTGAATAGTCAACCATTTATCGCCTACAAAAACAGCAATATTAGGTGTCGAGGTGGGGCTGAGAAGTGCTGAGACAGATCCTTAACAAATTTTCTTTCCTTAGACTTTCCCGTAAGCAGGTTCCAAGGACAAAAAGCACTTGTTCTCTCCACCCTGACGTGGAGTGGAGGCAGCAGCCTTTTCTTAGGCCTCGCCTATCTGGTGACGGGAGCTGTGACTTTGTTGGCCTTCTTTTCCATGATGGCAGTTCACCTGAAGCTGAAAGAAAGGAAAACGTTCTTCCTCCAGTAGTAAAGTCAAGCATTAAAAAGGAAAAACAGAAAAATAGAGAAATGGACCGTGAAGTAATGGAGCCAAAGATCTCAAAATGGGGTCTTCTACCAAGGGGAGCTGGACTGACTGACCAAGTACTCTTCCAGAGACATACGTAATAAGAGTTTCAAAGTAAAGAAAAAGAAGAGAAGAAGGCATAATTAGGTATAGTCAAATGTCCTTGGGATGGGGAGGATAAATCATCCTTGAGTTCTAAACCAAGTCTCGGGTATTTATTTGAAGCCCTTGCGCCTGAAAATAAGTGAATGCCTAGGAGGGTAGCATCAGCAGATGAGAGGAAGTAAAGCTGGGGCCCCAAGATTAGGTGAGTCCTTTTAACCATCAGTCAGGCTCAGACTATGAGCCTTCACTGGCTGGTTGAAATTATAGACTCCCCAGCCACAATTTTTGATCACTGAATTGAGCAATCGGGATGATTTTTGAAAATGGATTTATTCAACGTTCTCTTCTTTCTGTGGGTCAAAATGAAGTTTTCTTTTCTTTTCTTTTTCTTTTTTTTTTTTGAAGTTTTCTTACTAAGAGTAAGCCAAGCGAAGGTTATGGCAGTAGTCCTCAGAGCACCCAAAATACATCACTACACCAAAAAGAAAGTCCAGGAATTTCCCTAAAGCTACCCATGAGGCCAAAAAGGAAGTACTGAAAGTGACTGATGCTCTCAAAAGCTGTGCTCAGCATGTGAGGGTGCAACACGGTTCTGAAACTTACATCGGAACGACACTCTAGGGAGAATGTGGGTGGCAGTGTGGATTTGTGATACTTGAATTACACATTTTGAGGGAGTTGTTAGGGTCCATCTTAAAAGATTTGAGGTCCTGCTAAAGGCCACTTTAAAGGAGACTGAATGGCATGCAGCTGACCCTTGAGCAGTGCAGGGGTTAGTGGCGCGGACCCCCACGCCATCGAGAATCCACCTATAAATTTACAGTTGGCCATTAATACCTGTGGTTCTATCAATACATCCACGGATGCAACCAGCTGTGGATCATGTAGTGCTGAAGTGTCTACTGAAAAATCCGTGCCGGAGGAGACACTTGCCCTTCAACCCGTGTTGTTAGAGGATCAGCTGTACTTGGTCAGGCTGCCAGGGCAGCAGACTTGATGGATCCGCATAACTAGGTAACCAGTGTACTGTACTGTAAAAAACATGTTTATGTATTATCTTTGTTTTTTGAGGTTGGGGGAAGCTTTACTCTATGATGACTCTAAGAGCAGAATTTTCGTTGTTAGAGAGAAATGTAGCACCGATACATAGATGTCTTTTTAGCAGCCAAGAAAGCATTTCTTTGCTGCAACTTTCTATGTTCACCAAACGGTCGAGTACTTTTCCAAACAAACCAAAATGGTTTCAGGTACCAACCACTGACCTCGCTTGACCAGGTTGTGGTAGGCTGAGTAATGCCCACTGCAAAGATACCCACGTCCGAACCCCTGGAACCTGTGAGTGTGACCTTGAACCCAGAAGACACTAGTGTGGCTGCGTGTTCAGTCCCTCAGTCGTGTCCAACTCTTTGTGACCTCATGGGCTGTAGCCTGCCAGGCGCAGGCTTTTTTCCATAGGATTTTCTGGGCGGGAATATTGGAGTGGGATCTTCCCAACCCAGGGATTGAACCTGCGTCTCTTGCATCTACTGCATTGGCAGGCAGATTCTTTACCACTGTGCCACCTTGGAAACCCAGAAGACAGTTTGCAGGTGATTAAACTAAGGATACTGACATGGGGAGACTATACTGGATTATCTGTGTGGGCCTAATGTAATCATAAGGGTCCTCATAAAAGTGAGGCAGGAGATCAGAGGAGTAGGGGGGGGATGTGTCTATGGAATCAAGAGGTTGGGGTGATACAAAGAAGGAGTTGTGATCCAAAGAATGCAGGCAGCCTCTAGAAGCTGAAAAAAAGCAAGAGACACAAGCTGCTAAAAGTCCTATTGACACCTAAATTTGAGAGCTCTGACCTCTAGAACTGTAAGAAAATTAATTTATGCTGTTTTTAGCACAAGTATGGTCATTTGTTATAGTAGCGATAGAAAACTAATATATTAATACCATGGGTTGGCAATGCTCTGGTCGTCTGAACAATTGTGGTTTCTTGAGCTTAGGTGACCTGTCCAGGGCAGAGAGCTAGGAAGGAACAGAGCTCACACGGGAACCAAACCCAGCAACTTCAGACCCTGGGCTTGCACCCCTTCAGTCCACACTCCTCAGTTATGATGTTGACTGGAAAAAGTCATGAAGACATCTGTTACGTCTCAGTCTTGTTTGTCAGCTTATAAACTGCTGTATTAGTCAAGGTTCTCTAGAAAAACAGATTGGAGATGTGTGTGAGTGTGTGTGTAGGGAGATTTCTTTTCAGGAAGTGGCTTGCATGATTGTGGGGGCTTGGCAAGTGCAAAATCTGATGGGGGAGACTAGCAGGCTGGATGCTTAAGAAATAGTCGCAGTTCAAGCCAGAAGACCGTCTGCTAGAACGCCAGCAGGAATTGGTGTTGCAAGTAGAGCCCAAAGTCTGTCAGCTGGAGAATTCCCTTTGTCCAGGGGAGGTTAGCACTTGGTACTACAGGTTTTCCATTGGTTGCATGAGACCCACTCACATTATGGAGGGCAATCTGCTTTACTCAGCCGACTGATTTAAATGTAAATCTCATCCAAAAGCAGTCTTACACGCTTGCTGCATCTACTGGGCCTGCATGCTCTAGAGCCTGTGCTCCACAACTGAAGAAAGCCCACTAGAGAAAGCGCCAACAAAGACCCAGCACAGCCGAAGCGTGAGTAAATAATTGATTTGTAAAGACAGCCCCCCAGAAGCATCCAGATCAGTGTTTGCCCAAGTATCTGGGTGCCATGGCCCGGTCAAAGTGAAAGTGACAGGCACTCAGTTGCGTCTGACTCTTTGCGACCCCACGGACTACAGCTCACCAGGCTCCTCTGTCTGTGGAATTCTCTAGGAAAGCATACTGGAGTGTGTTGCCATTTCCTACTCCAGGGGATCTTCCCGACCCAGGGACCAAACCTGAGTCTCCCGCATTACGGGTGGATTCCTCACCGTCTGACCCACAAGGGAGGCCCAAGTAGACCGCAGTGGGTAGCCTATTCCTTCTCCAGAGGATACTCCCAACCCAGGGGTTGAACCTGAGTCTCCCACATTGCAGGCAGATTCTTTACCGTCAGAGCCACCAAGGAATAAAAGTGTAGGAATAAAAATAAAATAAATAATAAATAATAATAAATAAATAATATTTAATAATAAATAAATAAATAATAGTAAAATAAAAATAAAAGTGTAGGAATAAAAATTATTGGAAATTTAACCAATTAAACCCCTGCCTTATGTGACAAATCCATGATGCCAAGGATACCAGAGTGAGCCAGTCAGGGCCCTGGTCTCAAGGGACTCTTCTCGCATGGGTCTCTCTGTCCTTCCAAACCCATTCGCCCAGCTGAGCGTGGATCCCACAGTCGCCTAATGTGGGTCTCACGTAGCTTGCTAAAATGTCAATCAGGCCTCCAGGACTGAAGAGAGACCATGCCGCCCTCAGGATAGCACCAGCCCCCCACCCCCGCAGTGTGATCCCAGGACCCCAAAGTCCACACTGGGCACACAGAGGTGCTCCTAAGTTGATAAAAAATATAATCCTTCCCAGCCTGCATTAAAGCCTTTGTTGTGAAGCCTGGGTTTTCAGCTGGTTTGTTTCATGTGGAGGCTTTATTAAGCAAATGTTAATAAAGGAAAACCAGCTTCAGACAGCTGCTGGTGGTGTTCCTTCACAGGACCGCGCTGCAGCCTGCAGTTGTCAACGTTTCAGTCTCTGAATATTCCCCAGTGGGAGGACAGAAGAGCAGAGTTCTTGTGGCTTCTCTACTTGGTGCAACACAGGGAAGCCCATGGCCCTTGCTGCCAGAAGTCACTCAAGCACTCAGCCCGGGGTCCCACTCCTCAGCACTGGCTCACGAGTCTGTAGCTGAATCAGCCTTAGTTTGGCTAATAAGCGCAGCACTCTGAAGTCTTTATCTCTACTAACCAGGTTTCAAAAACCTTCATTCTCCTTGCACTGGTTTACAGTGTCAGTATCTTTGACACTTCTTAGATAAATGCATTGTAGGATGAGCCATGTTTTATCTACACTCTTCCCTACCCGGCCTGACAGTTCCCTTAAAATAGCTAGCTATCTGGTAGATGATTAGAAGAAAGAAGGTCAAATTATGAGATTTGGATTGCAATGACCCAGTAGCAAGCAAAGCTTCTTTAGGTTGGGGGGTGGGGGGTGGGGGGTGGGGAGGGGGACTTTTCCTGCAAAGGGCAGGCTTGTGCAGTGTCCCCATTCTAATCCTGTGGCATTCAGCGACAGGACTCAGGGCCACGCCGACAAACGTAGGAACTCTTCAAAGTCTGGGGAGTGAAATATTGTCTTACACTGAATCTTCCCTTTCTGATTAGAGTGGAGCCTGTCTCCTGCTTCCAGAGACAGGATCCAGTTTTCTTATTCATTTTCACCGCAGTCGGAATGGAAAAACTGAAGTCATTGCTCTGATGGTGAGGGACATCTTGCAGCACCCACAGAGCCAGCGGTCTGTGCAGACAGGCGTGGGGCACCTTTCGCCCCTTTTCTCTGTGGGAAGAGCTTCACTCCACTGAAACAGATGATTTTTAGTGCAGGCTAACATGGCAGAAATAACTTAGGCTCTGCCAATTTTTTTTTCTTTTTTGTTTATAAAGATTTCTCTGTTTCTTTCTTATAGTCAACATCCATGGGTTGACCATAAAAATATATCCCTGAGTTTGAGGTCAGGAACTTTCTTGAGAGGTCGGGGAGATTCCAAATGGTTTGTGGAAAGGAGAGCCGCAGAACTGCACAAAGTATGCTGGGGAGGACGAGACGAGCAGTCCCTCGGTTTAGGAAAGATGAGCAAATCTTTTGGATTTCCATCTTTCTTCTCAAGCTGAAAAATAAGCTCTCCCCTGA